TTTCCCTGACAGTAGACTGCTTGGCAAGGCCACTTCTCTGTTGGCCATGTAAGAGCCATTTCAAGATAATGTCAGAAATACAGTTTGGGGTAAATGTTTCTGTTGTTGCGACAGAGTCTGGCTCTGTTGCCCAGGCTGGCGTGCGGCAGCATAATCACAGCTCCCTGCAGCCTCCACCTCCCGGGCTCTCCTGCGTAGCCGGGACTACAGACACACACCACCACGCCGGGCTAGTTTTTGTACTGTTTGGAGAGATGGAGTTTTGCGACGTTGCCCAGGCTGGTCTTGAACTGATGAGCTCAAGCGATCCACCCACTTTGGCCTCCCAAAGTGCTAGGATTACAGGCATGCGCTACTGCACCCAGCTTGGGGTAAATTCTTTTGATTTCCTTCAGTATCACTGCTTGTAAGAAACATCCTAATTTAAGATGCCAAAATGTAAAAAAATGGTCACAGTGAGGAAGGAGGCCCTTAATCACCCTTAATCCTCTTAAGTATCTAAGACCGCTTCCCCCTAGCCTTCTGCATTGCATTTCAATAGGAAAGGTAAAACGTAGCAGACTGGGGCCGCCCTTAAGCCCTAGAGATCGCAGGCATGGTATGGAGGGATCTTTCCGGAAGGCATCGTTTTTTGCTTAAACACGATCAGACCCCCACCTAAGTCACGTGCCCCACGTCTGCTTCACGGATCAAGACGTTTTCACATGTAATTTCTAAGATTGTAAGCCACTGCTCCCGGCCAAATAAACACTACTTCCCTCCCAGTTCAGTGTTGGAGAGGTTTGTTTGCGGCCGCTCCTGCTCCAGTAGCAGAATTGATGAACTGTAGTGTGGATGGGGTGTGCTGGGTTGTGATGTAAAATATTTCAGCTGTGGGCTGCAGTCAGAGTTTGAAACTGGGCAAAATTACGGTAACGAAGTGAAGGGGTAAGAAGCAGCATTCTCAGACATCCAAAGACAAAGACAGTGTATCGCACAGAAGGTCTGCCCGAGACAACTGTTAGAAATTGTTGGCCAGGCATGGTGGCTCACGCCTGTAATCCCAGCACTTTGGGAGGCCGAGGCAGGTGGATGATGAGGTCAAGAGTTCAAGACCAGCCTGACCCAAGATGGTGAAACCCCGTCTCTACTAAAAATAATACAAAAATTAGCCGGGTGCGGTGGCAGGTGCCTGTAATCCCAACACTTGGGAGGCTGAGGCAGGTGAATCACTTGAACCTGGGCAGCAGAGGTTGCAGTGAGCTGAGATCATGCCACTGCACTCCAGCCTGGGCGACAGAATGAGCCTTAGCCAAAAAAAAAAAAAAAAAACCCGAAATTTTTTGTATTTTGTTTTTGAGATAAGGTCTTGCTGCATTGCCCGGCTGGAATATAGTGGCACAGTCGTAACTCACTACAGCCTCAACCTCCAGAGCTCAAGTGGTCCTGCCACCTCAGCCTCCAGAATAGCTGGCACCACAGGCATGAGCCACCACACCCTGCTAATTTTAAATTTACTGCAGAGGCAGAGCCTCACTACGTTGCCCAGGCTGGTCTTGAACTCCTGGCCTCAAGCACTCCTACAGCCTTGGCCTCGAAAAGTGTTGGGATTACAGGTGTGAGCACTGCGCTCAGCAAAAATTTTATTATGGGAAATCTCACACAAATGTGAAGGTGGATTAAAAAACCGTCATGAACACATCACCCATCTTCAACCATCATCAGTCCACATGGTCAGTATTTAGTCCATAAGCAGATCCCTCCGCCTCTACGATTATTTTAAAGCAAATCCCAGGCATCATGTTATTTCCACTGTGAATACTGGGGAATATCGTCTTACCATGTGCCCCCTGTGTTGTGATCAGAGTATCCCACTTGACCCAGCAGTAAGTAATATTTATAGTCAATAATGAAAACAGAGAACATGCATTTGACCCCAGCAGTTCGACTTAGTTAGGAGACCAGGAGCAGGGATGGGAGGTGCCAGGTGCTAAAATTCTCATCAGTCACAATGAGAAGCCACTAGACCAGGCCCAGCACGGAGGAAGCAGGAAAAGCAGGAGGCCACACTGAGCGCGTACCATCTGGGAGTAAGAAAGCCAACAGGAGGAATAGCCAGATCCATTCCCCAAGTTCTAGGGAGCGGGGAGGAAGAGGAAGGACAACGGCACGGGCTGCTGGTTTTGTTTTTGTTTTTACTTTAAATGATGTGCATGTATTACTTTGATTGTAACAAAAAACTTAAAAATGAAAAGAGGGCGCGGGAGAATCGGTGATTCAACTCTAGGCTTTGTAACGCTCCCCTTCCTAAGTTGGATTGCTTTTGATTAATGAGCGCATTTTGGCCTGTTTGAAGGTGAGAGCTGTGTAGCATGAGGCAGCGTCATGCTTGTCAACTGCCCTTCGTCAGGAGTGAAAAACTGTACTCTGTTGGCTTCTTCTGAGGCCAGTTGGCAAAACCTATTTAAAATATTCACAAGGAGCTGGTGCATTGTAGGGTCCAGCCCTCCAGGGTCCTGTGAGCCCCTCTCTGCTGGTGCGGGATGAGAAACTGGAAATAAAGACACAAGACACAGAGATCAAGAGAAGAGTCTGGGCCCAGGGGTCCACTGCCCACCAAAGCGCGGAGTCCGGCAGTGGCCCCGAGTGCCTGGACGCTCTGACTTGTATTGAGTACGAGGCAGGGGCAGGGCAGGTAGGGCGTGGCCCTGGCGGTCAGTGGTAGGGTCAGGTCCATCACGTGTCTTGGAGACAGGGGCCCAGGACTTTCAAGTAGTCGAGGCGAGGAGAAAACCTAATGTGTCATCACCTTTCCCATGCTTGTCAAGAAAGAACAAAGACATTAAGATTTATATTACTTTTACTGATCCTATCTTCTAAGAAAAAGAGGAACCAGGTGCAGAAGTGGATCATGAAAGTAGCCACGGAACATGGCCAGTGAAGCGCAGCCTCACGTGGAGACAGTTAAGCCCCCAGATGTCTGTGCGCGTCCCGTCAGGCCTGCAAGAGCTTGGAGGAGCGGACTTTCCTCCTCACTCCCCAGAGGAAGGAGACGTCTCAGACACCTGGGACGTCTCCTTCCACAGCTGGCTAAACGGCGGGCGCTTTCCCAGCGCTGGCACTGCCACACAGCCGAGGCGCCCTCCAGCAGCCCTTATGCGGGCGTTGACAGAGGGCTTAGAGCGTCTTGCGTCAGGATCACTTTGTTCACCATGTCACCTCAGTTCCATCCTTCATAACCCGGTCATCATCAGAAAAAGGTTCTATGAGTCTATTTCTGTGATTATATATGAATAACCGTGATTACTTATGACATGTAGGAATAACTGTGTGACTCTGTCTCTAATTCCTTTCTAGTTCTGTATTCATATGGCTGAGGCTCCAGAACCTTGCCTTGGCACCTGCGGGGTCTCCCCGCCCCGCAGTGCATGACAGGTCACACGAAGAAAGTGGGTGTTGATATTATCTGATACAGGTCCGTTTGCACTTGTGTTCTCTGAAACTGTCTGGGGTTTTGTTCATAGGAGACGGTAAGTAAGCAGCGTGAACGTGAAACAGCTCTCAGCATTTCTGGTGTGTGATGCAGGCCTCCCTAGAGCCGCTTCTCCTCCCTTTACACCCCTGGGCTGCACCCTGGATGCACACAGGATTAGAAACGCTTTTTACTAGAAGGGTGAAATAATTTTGTTTTACTGTGGTCCCTCCAGCACCGAGAGGAGTCTGGTGCAGAGCCGCTCGGAGTGGAGAGGGAACCCTCCTGCTGCGTCTTTTGCCAGGTGCTGCTTTGCACAGTCACGTAGGAAGATGAACAGTCCTAGATGCCAGCCCTATTGGCATGCCAAGTGTCGTTTTATTTTAAAATATCTTCACCCTTTTTTTTTTTGTAAAGAAGGGGGTCTCACTATGTTGCCTGGGCTGGTTTCAAACTCCTGGCCTCAAGTGATCTTCCCAGCTCGGCCTCCCAAAGTGCTGGGATTACGGGCGTGAGCCACTGCCCCCAGTCCCTTTTTTTCTGGAAGTTTTAAGATACCTGAGGCATGCCTTTGTTCAGCCAAAACGAACTATTAGATGGAAAAAAGCAGGAAGCACTACATTACGTTTTAAATCTCACACTTAACCTCAATAACTAGGAAATGTAGAAAACAAGGCTTTCCCTACATTAAGTGGGAAGATGAGCAAACACAGGTTCTAAACAGGAGAGCACCGAACACCCCTGACGGCTGCCCGGGACATGCTGACCCACGTGACGACACGTGCCCCTCAGAGGAGGTGTCAGCTCGGAGACAGAGGGAGGAAATGGGAGACCAGGGTGGCATCGGCAGTGTCCGCTGACCCCCGCTCCAGCTGGGGTGGTGTTGGCTCAACGGCGACACTGTCTGAGGTGGGAAGAGGGGAAGGGCCAGCCACTTGCTGGTGCCTGGCTTTCCTCTTGGGCATCAGCTTCCAGCCCTGCAGCCTGAGGGGACTGAGCTCCCCCACTTACACAGGTGGGCCCTGCTTGACTCCCCCAGCCCGTCAGCTTGTCGCCTCCGCTCTGCCACACTGGGCTGGGTGTGAGCTGTTAGGGAACCAGGCTTCCGGATTTCCAGGGGCCATCGGTGTGGAAGGATGCGGCCCTGGGAGCTACGTCATGAGCAGGCAGGAGTGCGAAGCCTGCGATGAGGAAGGATGCGATCTGCGAAACGGCAGAAGGGATGCGCACGCACGTGTCGTCCACTGCCTCGGCCCGGCCTTTCAGCCCTGGATCAAGGGCTGTCCCCAGCCACCCTACCCGCAGACCGTGTGTGTGAGCCCACACGTGTGCATCTGACACCAGGCCCCTGTCTCCTGCGCTGATACGGGCTCGGGACCTCCAGAGCCGCGGGCGGGATGACGCCCTCCACCTGCACTTCCATCTCCTGGCTGTTCTGTCGACTGACTTGTGTAAGACAATTTTCATACGGGGACCCTGCCTTCCAAAACAACTATGGCCAGTTTCAATGCAATCACAGTGTATTCTCAGCATTCTTCATTGGCAGTGGAAAATGCTTCAGTACTTTATTGAAAGAAAGCAATAAATAATACTGTGATAAAAATAGTTCAAAAGTAGACTGTACATACTTTGTTACATAATCAGGAAGTTCACAAAAGATTAGAAAAACAGAACAGTAACAATGAATTGTACAAGTAAATTAAAAGCAGAAACCAAATGTGAAAGAGGCTGCCTCTATCTCTGTATCTGCTGCACAATAAATACCACGCCATGGTCTGACACGCTTTGCTGGCTTTTTAATATGCCATTTAAAAAGCCACATTTGCAACTTACACAATCCACAATGGCTATATCATCAAAGTCTAAAAATGTCCCACTAGGTTCTTTCTTTAAACATGTTTACAAACAAATGTAAAAAGATGATTTACGTAAGAAAAATAAGGCCTTTATTAGAGTTGCTCTACACGGTTTTCTGGGTCTCCTGCCTCGTCCGCTGTGTGCACAGACTTGCAGGATGAGAGCACGGTGCCGGCTGACTGGCCCTAATTGGGCTCCATGGGTGTCTCTCTCCGCCCACGCCCAAGGAGGAGAGGCAGGGAAGAGGGTGCAGGGGCTGGGCTGGTCCCAGGTGACCCCATCCCGAGCCTCTCCAGTGAGAGAACTGCTCCCAGCTCCCAGCCTCTGTCAGCCACTGAAGACAAGCTCCGCAAACCCAGAGACGAGGCTAGGAAAGCGTTAACCAGTGCTGGGGTTTCTCAGAGTGTCATGATAGTCTTTTCAGTCCACACTTTATTAGAAGCTGGTATTTAACACCAGCTATTTTAAATCTGTTCACGCTGCGGAATAAAGCATTTCTTGCTAGAAAAAGTATACTTAAGGTCAGTCATTAAAATACAACAATTGCTTGAAATTAGGTATGCGTATTTCAAAATGATTGCTGTAGAGCTAGGTTGCATCTGTAAAGGATAATGCACATTGCTTCTGTCATAACTTTATAAACGTAGTAAAATCCTTTGTCATGGTTTACCATTAAAAAATTAAACAATAATTACAATAAATGCATAATTTACAAAAGCCCTATATTTGTTCATAGGATTTATACATACAAGCATTACAGTACATTCATTTGAAAGACTAAAATTAGGTATAAGAACATGATTTGAAAGGATATTTATAGCCTGGATATACATGAAAAAGTAAGTAACTATATAAATGAAGAGTCATAAGTTTACATAAATATAAGAAACATTAAATTCTAAAATATTTTCTCTATGGTATTTATGAATTTTTCACTAATTAAAAACTCTGTAATAAAATATCTTAGGGTCCATATAACAAGTATTAACAGATTAAAGATTCCATTGGATTCTAAAATGTCGTCTTTGTTGGATTCAAAATGCTGCGTAATCATCTGTAGAAGTAGTGTGGGTAAACTGGAAAATAAACACAAACAAAAAAACAGTTCTTACTACAGGCCAGGCCGCACTAATGAACGGGCGCTTCTGACGCTGGGGCCCCACGTACCCGCAGCGCGCCTCCCCCGGGACCCCTCACTTTCTGTGCCACAGCTGCTGAGAATCACTGGATGGAACATCACAGGCTGTGCACGTTAATGAGAACTCCTTGGCTGACTTCATTTGGGCTTATATCTGCAAGTTATCAATTAAAAATAAAAGACGAACAAACCAGTCGAATACTCCAGCGGAGACCTTAAAGTTGCTTAGAGCAGCAAGGAGAGAGCAGGCCACTCAGCAGGCGGAGGCCAGTGTTAGGAAGCAGTCTCTCCACACTGAAGGCTGTTAGTGTCACACCCTCGTACAGCCTGATGAAACTTGATACATAATTAACCATGACACTTTGCGTTTGCTTCATTGAAGCAAGCTTAGGAATTACACCGCTGTGCATGATGAGGCCAGTGTGCCAGAGACTGCCTCCTGACGTGCTCTGCCATGTTCTGCTCGGCCTGCTCCACGCTGAAGACATCCGCGGACAATTAAAATGAGTCAGCGTTTTGGGGTTTAAGGAAAAGGGGGAAATACAAGAAGACGCACTGACCTTTTTATGATCGACTGTAACAATGAAACTATCTTAATGGTATGGAGAGTGTGTCTATTTGAAATTCCCCACACACTGCATTGGCTTTCATGGCCCACACCCCTAGCCTGGCACTGCAGCCCCGACGACTCGTGCTGTGCCTCTGAGCCATCTCGGGGGGTTATGGTGCTCTCTACTCACCAACAGGAGACTTTAGCAGGAGTAAGTCCTGACTGTAGCAGAATCCAACCTCTGTGTTCCTGATACATTGCCTGTTTCAACAGCCACGAGAGGAAGCGTGCAAACACAGCGTGCGGTTAGTCTTAGAACATCACATGGGGGCACAAGTAGACACATATCTTCACACCTACAGCAGCGCCTACGGAGGGACCTGGGGGGAGCTGCCTGAGTGGGTGGGATGGAGCCAGAGAAAAATGCAAGTGTCACCCGGTGGTGGCTCTCCCCAGCTCCCCAGGAGCTCCCGGAGACTCTGGAACACTACTCTGAAATACTAAGCACCAAATGGTACAGTAACAATTTCAAAATGCACATCTACGTAAACGACACCTACTTAGAGTGATCCCTTTGTCTCTTACTAAGCTCTACATCCATAGGCCAGTGGGGCTTCCTCTCTGCCCCGAGTGCTCCGTCTCTAACAGGTGTGAAGTAAACAACCAAGCAGCGCTGCTGACGCGCCCAGCCACACCGAGCGCAGAGGCAGACGACGTCGGGCACAAGGCCAGCCTCAGACGGGGTGAGAACCTTGCTGCTCAGCACTGGCTGTGGTATCTGGAAAGCCCTACCCTTTCTTCCCAGGGGATGAGCAGAGCAGGTGAAGAGGTCTGGCTGCAGGGATGGGGCACTGGCCGGGGTGTGGGCTGAGGGCTGATCTAGAAACTGATGGCCAGCCTCACCTCCTACCAGAAATATTCATCATAGAGACCACAGATTTTTTTGGTTCTTACTCAGGAAACACTGTGTGGCCATAAGTAAGCCTGATTTCCGTGAACGGCCTGGATTGTAAGTTTGTACAAATCAGAAGCAGGTGCCGGCTGCTCCCGGCATGTGTTGTTTTTCCACAGGTGTACCGGGAACACTCAACATCCTGCATGGTTCCAGCAAAGCCGCTGAGACAGTTGGACTGTTGGTGAGGACAGATGATCTTCACAAATCCTCTGACCCTAAGAGCCTGGGAGACCTGCTGGAGTGTACCCCGCATTCCCCTATTTTAAAAGCCATTAAAACAATCCATTTTGCTGGAGATGGTGGCTCATGCCTGTAATCTCAGCAATTTGGGAGGTCAATGCAGGAGTATTGCTTGACCCCAGGAATTCAAGACCAGCCTGGGCCACATGGTGTAACCCCATCTCTCCAAAAAATTCAAAAAATTAGCCGGGTGTGGTGGTGTGCACCTGAGTTCCCAGCTATGTGGGAGGCTGAGGTTGCAGTAAGCTGAGACTGAGCCACTGCACTCCAACCTGGGCAACAGGGTAAGACCCTGTCACAAGGATAATAATCAATTTAGCAGGCTTGTGCCGGAGCCATTTATGTAAAGGTAAAAAGTCTTCTTTATAATAAATTCCCTACACCTTTTCCTAGGTTTACTTTACTTTTTTTTTTTTTTTTTTGAGATGGAGTTTTGCTCTTGTTGGCCAGACTGGAGTGCAGTGGCATGATTTTGGCTCACTGCAACCTCCACCTCCCAAGTAGCTGGGAGTATAGGTATATGTCCCCATGCCCAGCAAAGTTTGTTGTATTTTTACTAGAGATGGGGTTTTGCCATGTTGGCCAGGCTGATCTGGATTTCCTGACCTCAGGTGATCCACCCACCTCGGCCTCCCAAAGTACTGGGATTACAGGCGTGAGCCACCATGCCCGGCCTAGGTTTACTTTTCATTCATCCGAACTCTCATTCTTAATATTCCTGTTAACATTTGACAAGGGGAATGTGATTTATCAGAAGGAAAACTGCAATCGAAGCCACAAGGAAAACAAGAAAGCACTCGTGTGGACTCTTCAGGTGACAGAGCTTGAGCTGAAAGCCACGCTACAGTTACACTTTCTAAGAATTATATGCATGATTCTTGGAAGAAAAATGGTAATTTTTTAAAGGTTCCTAGTTAAAAAGATATACTGGATTTTCCCCCTTAATATATTATCAAACTCTGGCAAACAATACATAAATAATATAGCCTTTTACTAAAAATTCCACAAAGTAAGCCATTCACACCCAAAATGTCCAGTTTAACTAAGGTTTTATATAAATGTACTTTTCTTTTGATTTTTATACAAGTGATAAGAGAATAAAATTTATGAACCTACTTATAGGAGGGGCTAATGACAAAAAATTTTGCAAACCCCTCAGCACAGTTTTCAATTATTATTATTATCTTGTAGAGATGGGGTCTCACTGTATTGCCCAGGCTAGTCTCAAACTTGAGCTCAAGTGATCCTCCTGCCTTGGCCTCCCAAAGTGCTAGGATTACTGGCATAAGCCACCATGCCTAATTAGCACTTGAAAAAAAAAGAGTCTCACTCTGTTGCCGAGGCTGGAATGCGGTGGCACAATCTTGGCTCACTGCAACCTCCACTTCCCAGGTCTAAATAATTCTCGTGCCTTAGCCTCCTGAATAGCTCCAATTACAGGCATGTGCCACCACGCCTGGCTAATTTTTGTAGAGATGGCGTTTTGCCATGTTGGCCAGCCTGGTCTCGAACTCCGGGCCTCAAAGATTAGCACAGTTTTTAATGCCACTTCGTTTCCTCCAGTCTGCTTGCTGCCCTCAGAACGGAGAATGAGTGACAGCCGCCTGGAGCACAGGGGCTGCCGAGCAGCTGCCACTGACACAGGCTTAGAACTTCACCAGCTTTATGAATGACACAGTTAATCGTCACAGGTACTCTATGGGGAAAGACACTACTACGATGGCCATTTGACAGATGGGGAAACCGTGGCACAGTGTAGTTAAATGACTTGCTCAAGGTCATGCACCTCCTAGCAGCAGAGCTGGAGTCAAAGCTAGGCAGCCTGGCTCTGCCTTTCATTAGATGAGTGCAAGACTAGAGCTGAGAGACCTGTCAGGAAGCCATGATCAACTGTTAACCTCAAATCAAAGTGGTTGTCAAAGGGGAAAATCCCAAACAGTGCTTGAAATCATGGCGGTGATATGCTCTCTCTGGCTGGTATATTCAAGGGCTGCCTCACTCCACTGGGAACTTCTTGGAGGTAGACATGTGACTGCACAAACAGCAGCAGCAGAGAGGGAAGAAAAGGCAGGCAGAGCTTACGTGAGCTAGAAACTGTGTTACTTCAAACGTACTCAGTTATTTTCTCCGGTGTAGAGAGCACTAAATTCTGTGGTCTGGAAGCTGCTACTACACTGCTTCCTGGAAGAGCTTCCAGCACAGCCTGGCATGTACACGCAGCTACAAGGAGGCCTCAGTCTCCCCGAGAACACGGGCAAGTACTGAGCTTCATTAGTTGGAAAAATATGCTAAGATTCAACTAGACAAAATGTTTTTAAAAATTCTATTATTATGGTTAAACTTTTGTAAACAAATGTTAGAGTTAATTTAAAAACATTTATTTTGGACATGCAACCATACTCAAGTGCCTTGTAACATATTAAAGAGGCTGTTTTAGACCATGATTAATGTTCCAGACAGAAAGCTGCTCATGCTCCCCGCAAGCAGCAGGCTAGCACGACCTACCACGTACCATCCATCTGCATCTTCTTTGGCTGCATAGAGGGTGAAGACATGGAAGAAGTCACCCGGAAGTTTGCAGGGAGCGTCTCTGCTGACCCAGCAGCTAAGCCACGAATGTCCTTTGGTCTAAACTTTTTTCTCCATGAAGGTGCTCTCCTAAAGCTTTTATCATCATCCTGGTAAATTAAAGAATAAACAGCAAGGTTCATTTAAAAACTAAAGGTCAGAGATGGAAAGTTAAATGTTCTTTAAAATGACTGCTGAACTCAAGTACGTTTTCTTGTTCACATGTAGGTAATCCTTTCTTTATGACCACACAGTGTATTGCCCAAACTGGAACTTCAGCATGAAATGGGGCATGGTGATGGTCTGGCTGTGTCTCAGCTAGCCGAGTGAAGTGGGTGCTGGGCCGTGGGGATGCTCCTTCTACCCAGCATCATGGCTGAGTGAGGTGGGTGCAGGGCCGTGGGGATACTCCTTGTACCCAGCATCATGTTCTACTTCTTACGTTGCAGGAATCAGTTTCTTGCTACATAATACATTTTTATTTATCTTAAAAAGTTTATTTTTCATCTTTATTTATTTTTTTACAGACAGGGTCTCGATCTGTTGCCCAGGCTGGAATGAAGTGGTGTGATTATAGCTCACTGTAATCTCGGATTCTTGGGCTCAAGCCATCCTCCCGCCTCAGCCTCCTAAATAGCTAGGACTACAAGTGTGCCCCCACCATGCACAGCTCTAAAAACAAGTTTTAAGCTATAAACAATTCTATCTCATGCCAGGATATGGCCAAGTGCTTCATCTTTAGAGGTGGCTTTCTATTCTCTTTGTCAAACTCAAGTTTTCTTGAGGTCCAATTAAGAGACTCCTAATAGTGTGGAACAAATGAGTCATGGTTTTGTTTAAGGGGAAACTAACACTTTGTGTTTTTAATATACTTCTGAAACACGCTGTCCCCGACCAGTACCGAGGGGCGTGGGAGGCACGCTCTGGACTGCAGTAGGATGCCCGGTGCCCCCACACCCAGCATACAGACTCTGTTCCTCAGCTGCAACCAATGTTTTGTGATGTGAAAAACATTTTTGAGGGAAGTGTCAAAAATTAAATAGCAAAAATAAAAAAAAACTACCTTCTTTAAGTTATTAGTTTTTAAAGGCTTCTGTTAATAAATTTATAAGAGTGAAGCCTAATTTCTAACATCCAGAGGGACTGCCTACCTATAAGATGCCCCAAGTATAACAACTTACATTTCACACACATTTAAACATCTATACACATTTCATACACATTTAAAGAACATGAGGCCAAAAACTTACTTCATCGAACCTTCTATCAGTCCCCATGACCAAAAGGTTGTTAAATTCTCTTTCCAAGACAGCACGAGCCTGAAATAACCAAAGAATAACAAATAAAATTTTCACCAAATCTAACTTAAAGGGTGTTAGCATCATAAATGTTTTTTAAACCAAGACTTAAACTCCTTCACTGCTGGCTGGGTGTGGTGCCTCATGCCTGTAATCCCAGCGCTCGGGGAGGCTGAACCAGGCAGACCACCTGAGGTGAGAAGTCCAAGACCAGCCTGGTCATCATGGTAAAACCCTGTCTCTACTGAAAGTATAAAAATTAGGGTGTGGGCATGGTGGCTCACGCCTGTAATCTCAGCACTTTGGGAGGCCAAGGCAGGCAGATGACTTGAGGTCAGGGGTCTGAGATCAGCCTGGCCAAGATGGCGAAATCCCATCTCTAGTAAAAATACAAAAATTAGCCAGGCATGGTGGCAGCTACTTGGGAGGCTGAAGCAGGAGAATCACTTGAACCTGGGAGGTGGAGGGTGCAGTGAGCCAAGACTGCGCCATTACACTCCAGCCTGGGCAACAAGAGCAAAACTCTATCTCAAACAAAACCAAACCCCCCAAAACAAAAAAACAAAAAAACAACTCCCTCACTGCTATGACTACATGGAACCATAATAATATTTTAAATCAGGGCTTCTAACGTGAAGTCTATGGATGGACCTTTGGGGAAAGGGGTCCACGATCCTTGGAGTCATAATAACAAAGGTATGCTGTGTGGGGTGGTCAGGGGTATTGGCAAAAGATATTCGATGTTCTTTTTCTTTTTTTTTTTCTTTTGAGACGGAGTTTCACTCTTGTTGCCCAGGCTGGAGTGCAATGGCGCGATCTCGGCTCACCGCAACCTCCGCCTCCTGGGTTCAGGCGATTCTCCTGCCCCAGCCTCTTGGTTCTTTTTCTTTTGGGATGGGGTTTCACTCTGTTGCCCAGGCTGGAGTGCAGTGGTGCAATCACAGCTCATCACAGCTTCCACCTCCAAGGCTCAAGTGATCCTCCTGCCTCGGCCTCCCAAGTAGCTGGGACTACAGGTATGTGCTAATATTCCCGGCTAATTCTTTTGTGCTTTTTGTAGAGGCAGAGCTTCAGCATGATGGACAGGCTGGTCTCGAACTCCTGGACTCAAGCAAACTGTCTGCCTGGGCCTCCCAAAGTGTTGGGATTATGGCTATGGGCCACCTTACCTGGCATATTAATGTTCTGTAGAGTAATAAAAGTTCCCTGTTTTTCAAATGAGCCCATGAGTCAAAAAGAATTACATAAGGTGATTACCCATAAAAACAAAATTAATAAAATCTGCATGTGGCACAGCTGACAATACTTCTCCTTCCACTTAAGAACTAAATAATCTACGTCACTCTTCTGAGCACATGGGCTGGAATGAAAAATCCTCCTTATCTGGTTTACTGCAGGACTCTCACTGCTTCCAACAGAAAAGGGAAAGATGACAGACAAAAAACTAGTTGTCTGAGGGTTTTTTTTTTGAGTGTTCTTTCTATTCGAATAACTGTTTATCGTCAGGGTGCCAACTGAACACTGTGAGTGAGACATGGACAGGCTTGGTGTCACCTGTGTGTTCTGTGTCGGAATCTGTAACAGCAGGGCCAAGGTGCTGAAGTCAAAGGTTTCCTCTAAGGCCAGCAGGGCTCCGTGAACACCACTCTCTAGCAGATTGTTTGCATATTCTTTAAGGCCAATTGACAGGATCCAGCGAATCACTCGATCATTGCTCCAAACAAGCACATCTGCAAAAGAATGAGGACGATTCTAAAAGTGACTTCAGAAAGTCTTTATCACACGTACCCTGTAATGCAGGAGAAAGGTTCCCACCACAGTTCCTAATCCTTCCGCTCCTGACAACCACGTGCTGCACAACGGTGTCCTGCCCCTGCTCCATCCTCAGGGAAACTTTCCTATTAGAACTCATCCTTCCAGTGAGCACAAGAGGAATGAAGTTATTATTTCTAGAGAACAGAAAATGATGAGGATCCAGGGATCAGAAGCCAGAGGACTGCAAGAACTTGAACACCTAACATGTATAATAAATGTACTTCATACACAGACTAGAGCGCCTTCTGAAATACTTCATCAGGGATGGAGCGGGCTTCATAATAATACAAACTCTTTGCTCAATTCAACAGAAATCTCTCATTTCTAATCTTGAAGTCTTTGTCTCATTTTAAAATAAGAGAAACTTTAAAATGTCATCCAGCATATTACAGATGCTGCAGAAAATCTTTTCTTTCTTTTTTTTTTTTGAAACAGTTTTTTTGCTCTTGTTGCCTAGGTTGGAGTGCAAGGGCACGATCTCGGCTCAATGCAACCCGTCTCCCGGGTTCAAGTGATTCTCCTGCCTCAGCCTCCTGAGTAGCTGGGACTATAGGTGCACGCCACCATGCCCAGCTAGTTTTTGTATTTTTAGTAGAGATGAGGTTTCACCAGGTTGGCCAGGCTGGTCTCAAACTCCTGACCTCAGGTGATCTGCCCGCCTCAGCCTTCCAAAGTGCTGGGATGACAGGCGTGAGCCACCGCGCCCGGCCCTCTCTTTGTTGACAAGGTCCTACACTCTGTGGCCCAGGCTGGAGTGCAGCCTGGTACCCCCAGAGCTCACTGCAGCCTCAACTTCCTGGGCCCAAGTGGTCTTCTCACCTCAGCCTCCTTAGGAGCTGGAACTACAGGTACGTGCCACCAAGCCCAGCTAATTTTTTGTAACGACAGTCTCACTATGTTGCCCAAGCTGGTCTCCAACTCATGGGCTCAGATAATCCTCCTGCCTTGGCCTTCCCAAGTACTGAGATTACAGGCATGAGCTCCCAGGCCTGGCCACAATAGCTTATCTTATGCAAATTTATAAATCATTAATTTTGCTCTATTAGATCTAAAAATAGCCACTCTATAAAAATATATGCAAATGATCACTAATCACTTCCAAAGACAGTTTCTGTCTATTGTAAAAAGATGCAAAATAGATAGAGAAAACTAAACAGATGGGCATATTTCAATTCCAATGCCCTGTTCTGGATAAAGTCCATACATATACACATATTGTATAAATGTCAACTGAGCGTTTTCCTCATGATTCACATTAACTCAATCATGAGTGGAGACTTTCCTGCAACGGGGCCATCCAACTGTATCTTTATCCTTAGTTTCTTTCTTAGTAAGAACTGGGGATGAAAACAGCGCTCAGACTGACAGGGATAAGGCAAAGATTAAATAAGCCAACTCCTGATGGCAGAGAACAGTGGCACCTCCTCACTGTTCAGTGAGATTTGCCTCTTCTTATCATTATTATTAGTGATTTCCTTGCATTACAAGAATTCTGGGAGACACTACTCTGAGCTCAATGTTCACTGTCTAACTTTAAAAAGCAAATTCTGACTGGGTGTGGTGGCTCACACTTGTAATCCTAACACTTTGGAAGGCCAAGATGGGGGGGTGTCCTGAGCCCAAAAGTTTGAGATCAGCCTAGGCAACATAGTGAGACCCTGTCTCTACAAAAAAAAAAAAAAAATCCAGGCATAGTGGAGCACACCTGTAGTCCCAGCAGCTACTATGGTGGCTAAGGCAGGAAGAGCCCTTGAGCCCAGGAGTTCGAGGCTATAGTGAGCGAGCTGTGATCACACCACCGTACTCCAGCACAGCCTGAGCTAGAGAGCAAGACCTTGTCTCCAAAAAAAAAAAAAAAAAAGAAAAGAAAAAGAAAAAAATTAAATTAATAAAATAAATAAATTTCTGTCCATGGTCTCAGAGGAGCACTGAGTGAGGGCTCTCCAACAGAGAAGAGAACACCATGTCTCCCGGATGAGCGTCCCACGTCCTCCAACGGCCTCCCTGGCCTGTGTTTTCTAATTGAAACGCCCTTTCCTTACTCTAGGCAGCTCCTGCTCCTCCTCCAAGGACCGGCTGAAACGAGCGTGCTGCGTCTCCACCCTGGGAGCAGAACCGCACAGTCCTCTCCTGTGAAGCCCCCAGTCATATTTCTCACACTTGAATCAAGTGAGCTTGGCTCTGTCGTTATCTAACAGTGTGGAACAGCATTTCGGAGAGGCGTCCACGGGGCTCGATAAAGGAAGGCTCTCAGGTCATAGGGGGTGACTAGCCTGAGACATTTCGCCTCCAGACTGATGTGTGAGGGCACAGGCCAAAGTCCTCTGGCTGTGGAAGAGGATCTCAAAGCACTCATCGGCATCCAGCCCTCCTCTGCAATGACACCAGACTAGTTTCCACTTAAAGCCTTTCTTCGTTTTTTGAAAAATAGGAAGTCACTGAGGCTGTGAATACACCAGCAGGTAGGAGTGAATGGAATCAATTAAGCGTCATGTACTAGCCTTTTATTTCATTCTGACTTTCTTCTCTTTTTCTTTCCAGTTCTTTCCGGTCATAATTTAACCTTCTCAGGCACATAATTCCACACTGGAAACTGTTTCTATTTGCAAGAAAAGAGAGCAAGATTTAGAGATGGTAACAGTGAAAAATCTTAGTCAATTAGTAAGAACTACCTATATTAAGTTACCTGTGAAAACTGTCGACCATTTTCAGCTGCCCTCGAAGGTCTTTCTTGGTCAAGTGGTCCAGCATCCTGGCGTCCACAAGGCACTCCATGAAATAGCTGCGGTACTGGGGGAGGCCCAGGCTGGGGAGCCACTCGTTGCCAATCCACTCGTGGTTCATGTCCCCATAGGCAAGTGTCTGCTTTTGATAAGCGGAAAAGGTCACTTATGGAGGGAGTCTCAAAAGCAGTTTAAATAATTTTTTAATGAATTTTTAATTTCTTACATATATTCTCAAAGGCTAATGATAATTTTATAATTTCAAAATAATTTTATCTCTTCTTCTCACCTTTTAAATTTATTAGTCAAATTTTTATACAAAAGGAATCATAACATTAAAAATATATGCCTCGACGTGATAAATTTAACTTTTTAATCAAACTACAAAAAAAGTGTAACTGGCTACAAATTTCCTCTCTGAAATAGTTTTTAAGATAATAATATGAGAACAAAGATTGATCACGACTCATGAACAAGTTTGAAGGCCTGATTCAACTCTACTTACTGAGATTATCTCTGGTTGGTTTACATTTTATTTTGAACACTTTGTTTTCCTAAGTAGAATCTATTTCAAAGTCAGTACAAGTGTGTTAAAAAATCGTTTTAGAAAAGAGAGAAAACAACAACCAATAGGACTGAATGGGGAAATCCACATTTGTAGTTGAAAAAACTCAACACTTCTTTCTCATAACAATTGATTAAAGAAGCAAAAAGAGAAAAAAAATAAGAACATAGAAAATCTAAACAAACAACACTTAACCAACTTGACCTAACTGATGCTTTATAGAACACTCAACAAGAGAACAGATACTCTTTGAAAGTCTGTATAGAATTTTGCCAAGACAGACAAATCTCAACATATTTAAAGAGACTGAAATTAAAGTACATTCTCTTGACTGCAACAGAATTAAATTAGAAATCAACAATAAAAAGCTATCTAGAACCCCCACTAAATATTTGAAAATTAGCATATATATAAATATATATATATTTTTTGATATGGAGTCTTTCCTCTGTCTCCCAGGCTGGAGTGCAGTGGGCATGATCTCGGATCACCTCAACCTCATCTCCCAGGTTCAAGTGATTCTCCCGCCTCAGTCTCCCGAGTAGTGGGATTACAAGCATGAGCCACCACACCCGACTAATTTTTGTATTTTTAGAAAAGACAGGATTTTGCCAGGTTGGTCAGGCTGGTCTCCAACTACTGACCTCAAGGGATCCACCCACATTGGCCTCCCAGAACTGCTAGAATGACAGGCATGAGCCACCAGCCCCACCAGAATATATTTTTAATTGAAAGAAAATAAAAACAATATATTCAAAAATTGTGAGGAACAGTTAAAGCAATATTCCGAGAGCAAACACCACGTCAAAGGATTATCAATGCAGAAAGACCTTGAAAATCAGTGATCCAAGAGTCTGCTTTTAAAAATTTACATTAGGCTAGGTGCAGTGGCTCACACCTGTAATCCCAGCAGTTGGGGAGGCCGAGGCAGGTGGATCACATGAGGTCAGGAGCTCAAGACTAGCCTGGTCAACACAGTGAAACCCCATCTCTGCTAAAAATACAAAAATTAGCTGGGCATGGTCATGCAGGCCTGTAGTCCCAGCTACTCAGGAGGCCGAGGCAGAAGAATGGCTTGAACCTGGGAGGCAGAGGTTGCAGTGAGCCAAGATCGGGCCACTGCACTCCAGCCTGGGGGATAGAGCCAGACTCTGTCTCAAAATAAAAAAAATAAAAATAAAAACTTAAACTAGAAGAACAAATAAAATCCAGAGCAAGCAGAAGGAAGAAAGTAAAAAAGCAGAAATCAATGAAACAGAAAACAGAAAAATAATAGCAAATAAGCCAGTGAAACGAAAATCTGGTACTTCATAAATAGCAATCAAATTAACAAACCCCAACTGGACTGGATAAGACAAAACAGAAAACATAAATCACCACTATCAAGAATGAAAGAGGGAACCAGCCTGGCCAACATGGCGAAACTTCATCTCTACTAAAAATATAAAAATTAGCCAGGCGTGGTGGCACACGGCTGTAATCCCAGGTACTCGGGAGGCTGAGGCAGGAAAACTGCTTGAACCCAGGAGGCGGAGGCTGCAGTGAGCCGAGATAGTGCCACTGTCCTCCAGCCTGGAAAACAGAGCGAGACCCTGCTTCAAAAAGAAAAGAAACAGAAAGGAGGGAGGGATGGAGGGAGGGAGGGAAGAAAGGGGAGGGAAGGAGGAAGGGAGGGAGGGAAACAAAGAAAGAAAGGAAAGAAGGAAAGAAGGAGGGAAGGAGGGAGGGAGGGAGGGAAGGCAGGCAGGCAGGCGGGAGTAAAGGATGGACGCCAGATGTGGTGGCCCATGCCTGTAACTTCAGCTACTCCGGAGACTGAGGTGAGAGGACAGCTTGAGCCCAGATGTCTGAGACCAGCCTGGGCAACACAGCGAGACCCTGTCTCAAAAACGAAACAACAACACATGAGGGGACATCAATACAGATTCAAAAGACACTGAAAGAATACGGAACTACTATGAACAATTTTAAGCAACTTATTTCTTAAAAAATAAACTAGCAAAGCTAACGAGAAACGGGTAACACATACCTCTACTAGAGCCTGAGGTTATAATTATAGATCTTCCAACATATAAAAATGTCTGCCCAAGATAGCTTCACTGGTGAATTCTACCAAACATTTATCAAAATAAATAAATAAATCACCACAATTCGACATGAAGTCTTCCAAAAAAGCTTGAAACACCTTATCTCATTCTATGAGGCCAGCATTACCGAGAGCAAAACCAAAGACGTAACAAAACTAGAGATCAATACCGCAGACACAGATCCACAAACACATAAGAAAACATTGCCAAGTCAACAGTATAGTAAAAGAATACGATACCATAACAAGTATGGCTTATTCTAGAAATGTAAGTTGATTCAACATTTGAGAAGAAAAAAAATCAATAAAACTCTCACCATGTGAAGAGACTGAGAAAACCGTAACATCATCTCAAAAGATTCAGAGAACGCATTTGACAAGAGTTGTGCTCATTTATGGAACTTCAAGCATTCCAGAAATGTAAAAAAAGTGCCTCAACTGGATAAAGGGCATCTACAAAAACCCTAAAGCCAGCACCATACCTAATGTAAAAGACTGAATGCTCAGCTGGGCCTGGTGGCTCCTGCCTGTAATCCCAGCACTTTGGGAGGCAGAGGTGGGCGGGTCACTTGAGGTCAGGAGTTTAAGAACAGCCTGGGCAACACAGTGAGATCCCGTCTCTTCAAAAAAAAAAAAAAGGACAATGTGTTTCTCCTAAGATAAGGAACAAACTAAGGATGTCTACTCTCACCATTTTCATTCAACACTGTATTGAAAATCCTAGCCGCTGTAATAGGTCAAGAAAGAGAAATAAAAAGCACATAAATTGCAAAAAAAAAAAAAAAAAAAAAAAAATTGTCTTTACTTGCAGACAACACAATTTTCAATGTAGAAAAGAAATCTACAAAATAGCTATCAGAAAGTAGGTTCAAGCAAGGTTACAGGATACAAAGACCAATAAAAATGAACTATATTTCTAAATACTAGCAACGCACTGAAAACTGAAATTTAAAAGTACCATTTGCAATGGCATCAAACCTGTAAAATCCTCAGGGATAAATCTAACAGAATGCATGCAAAACGTGTACAATGAGCAAGAACTAAACACATTATATACACACACATATTGGAGGAAGTACCTGAGATACCTGAAGTCTCCAGCTGAGGAAGACTAAGTTAGGGTCACAGGAATTCTGTAGTTACATTACAGGATCTTGGTAGTGACTCTCAACTAACACCATGTTGGTCTTGAAACTATGGCTTCCAGCATCATTTGTTATTTGGTCCAAGCTAGAAGCAAAACTAAAATTCTAGCAAATAATGTTTAAATTCTAATAGAAAAAAAAAATGCTTCACTACTTTCTCTAAAAAGAAAGTAAGAAATATGCCAAACATTTTTGGGCCACATGAAGATATCTAGCAGTATCACCATGCTTTTTTCACTCTTCTAAACCTGAATCTTACAGGCCTAATATTTATTTATGTATTTTTTTGAGACAGGGACTCGCTCTGTCACCCAGGCTGGAGTGCAGTGGCACACTCTCAGCTCACTGCAACCTCCACTTTGCAGGCTCAAGCCATTTTCCAGCCTCACCCTCCCAAGTAGCTGGGACTACAGTCTCCAGCCACCAACGCCTGGCTAATTTTTGTATTTTTTTTTTGTAGAGACAGGGTTTCCCCATGTTACCCAGGCTGGTCTTGAACTCCTGGGCTCAAAGTCATCCACCTGCCTCGGCCTCCCAAAGTGCTGAGATTACAGGCATGAGCCACCGCGCCTGGCCCAGGCCTGTTATGTGTAGCATGGATATCTGGTATTATTATTCTCTTGCTTGCTATGTACTCTTAAATGGGGAAAGTAAACAAAGGAACCGTCTAAATAGAAAACTGCATGGAAGCAGAACCCTACTTGTTTCTGTTTTCTCATTATATGCTCTGCTCAGCCTCCTGAAGTGGCTGACAACATAAACTCCCAGAAGGGTCAGGTTCCATCCCAGGGAGACTCACCTCGTTTCTCCTGGGCTGCCATAGCAGCCTTTTGAAAAAAAACTTACCAGGTGAGCTCACAGTCAAGAGAACATCGGAACTAGAAGAGATACCCACTGCACAGTGTTTACTGCCATCACTGAAACAGTCACAAGTACAACTCAGCTTTATGAACTCCCTGAAATGGGAGCTCCGTGGCGGGGAGACCACAGCTGTCCTGCTCACAGATGCTCTGCACAGCCAGACTCGCTCACTGTTCGTTAAATGACGTATAAATGGTTCTGACCCTGCCTTGATGTTTTCCTCCCCTGAGTGTCCAGGGGGAGCTCAACGCTCTCTTTGGTTTAAGAGCTGGCCACTGTGTACTGCCCTTGGCAGCAGGCGGCAGTCCCAGCTGGAAGAGGGGAAGAAGGGAAAGTGATACAAGCCTCCACTAGACTGCAGGTCGGCTAGTTCTGGAGTCATCAGCAAGGCGCGGTCTTGTTTCTTTTTCCACTGCAAAGAGCAAAGTTCAGCCTATTCCATTTACATTTCATGTCTCTGGCTCAGGCAGTTTCATGCTGAAGTACTAACAAAGTTCTGCTACTTGGCGGAAAATATACTGAAATTTAAGTCATTATGAAATGTACCCTGTATAATTCATTTATGGTGGTTACACATCCTGGAGAGAGATATCTAACAAGTTAAATAATTAATAAGATTATTTATCTGGAGAAGAGGCACAGAATGCTGAAATCAAGGGTGAAAAAAGCCCACAGAGTTCACACCGTAGCTATTTTGTTGGGGGAAAAAAAAAAAAAAAAAAAAGGGAGGGGCAATATAATCAGCTGTATTTTAGAAGTGCAAATAGAAGGAAACAGCTGCTTCAACTGTCACCTTGTCATCAGGAAAACTATGATTTACAATCATTTTTATTTTTTTCAGATATATAATGATTCTTCGGAAGACCTCAGATACCAGTCCATTCGTGAACGCCTCTAGAGCTGCCTGTCCATGCCTCATGGCTGCGATGTGTCACTGAGACACACACCCTGACGCAGAAAGCTGGTGGCATCGCACTGAAGGAAGCGCTGGCATTTAAGGCAAGCTGTCTGAATGTACAGAATGCAAAACAGTTGGGAGAGAGCTTCTGGTGAGTTAAAGAATTGAGAAGCTGAAAATCCAAATGTACAGTAGTTGAAAAGAGGCTTAATTCCTTAGGATTACATTAGTAAGAAAATCTTTAAATGAACTTAGGACTAGGATAGTATTTAGTAAAATATCAACACAAAGACACAGAGGAAAAATCAGTATGCCAATTTTTTGGTTTGGAAATTTATTAGAATATAAATTTCCCCATCAGCATATCTTGTAATAATAATAATGTTACCCTACCAGGAAATTACATACGTAATCTCAGAAGCTGCCTAAGCCACTTTGTATAAAAGATCCTATGTTAAACAAAGCAACCTATGTTAATTAAAAATAACTGCCATGGTGCTATATGAGAAATATTCAAAATTGTCCATGAGACGTACTCTTTAATCCTATGCTCTGCCTGCTCAATGCTTTCAAATCATTAACAATTCTGTAGTCTGAGTAAATTAAGATGCTATAAACATTAAAAAAAAAAAAAAGTAAATTACACAAGTTTTCATACTCCAATTGCTTTTTGCTGCTGTACATGTAGTGAAGAATATATTAGAGAAAGACTCCAACCTGAGCCCAGCTTCCCTCCTCATCTTCCTGGGGTTACGTGGTTAGGAATGCAAAAGAACACAACTATTAGTATTGGTGAGCTCAGCAAGGCAGGCAAGGCAACTCTGAGGGAAGGCACAGCCTCACTGAGGGAGCTCAGACTATCAAAGCGTCATGCACAACTCATGCAAAACCAACAATCTCCATTTCTCATGCAAGGAGCAGACTCTCTCCACACCAAGCACATCCATGGAAGGAGCAAGGGCCACACAACCACGTGGAGCTCAACAGATCTCCCCAGCAGGAGAGCTAGAGTCAATCTATTCTAAATAGAGAGTCTACCAACTTTAAGTTCCTGGAAAAAAATCTAAAATTAAATACAAGTTCTACTTACACATTCAACTAATAACTAAAGGAAATACTTATCTGGAACAACTGAATGGAAAATAACATTTTTGTTTTCAACAAAAAGGCAAAGAACCCAGAGGGTCTGAAGTGGAGAATGAGCCGGGAGGAGTGCAGGCTGTGGCGCGTGACTAACCGTTTGCGGCGTGGCTGCGAGCGTTTCCATCTCTTCGTGTGTTAACCAGACATTTCCTGTGGTCTAAGGTGACCCCAGTGCACCAGCCACATCCAGGGCAAGGGAAGCAGTGACAAAGAGGAGAGGGGCACACACATAAGCCACAGGCACAGAGAAGGGGCCGAGGAGGCAAAGTTCGCTCTTCTCATTTTTCAGTTCAGATGCCCAAACAGAATAACCATTCCCGGTTAACACCGTGTGGCCCACACCACCACCAGAAGGGCACATGATGCCCAGAGCTTTAGATGCCATGCTTACCCAAGGTATGTGAAATATCAAGAGAAGAAAACACGTTGTGTATTTCTGGAAACTGAGTAATTCTCAAGTAACTAGATTCAATATATTTAAAACAGATGATGAAACTTGCTTTGGCTACAGGAAGGCTCTCTGCCGCAGATGCTCCGTGATGGCCTGAAGGGCTGAAGGCAGGCCACAGGGCAGAGGGGTCACGGATGTGCTAGACAGTGCTGATGGCTCTGTGCAGCCATCAGAACCAGACACAAGACACAGTGGCCTGCGTGTCTACTTGAGGGAGATGTTTTCCTTGCACTTTGACATGGTGTGAAGAGTTTGCCTTAGGTGAGGTGTTCTCCATCATTACGGAAGACAGTGTATAAATACAGGAGAAACCACTTAGCACCTTCATTTCCAGCAAGGCTACCCTTACGTGAAACCACTGGGGAAGAGATCAGACACTGCTCACAAGGCATGCCATGGGAAAGGAGCTCTTGGAGCAACAGAAAAGAACAAGGCTTATTGTTCATTACCATCATTTTTTCACTAAGAAGGAAAAAAATAAATAAATGAAAACTTTTTTTGTAAGATAACTGGGAGCCCTGAATCCAGCCTTGACCTGCTCCTTGGAGAAGTGTGTCTGTGAGGCTTTAAATCTCAAAGAGAATTTGCTTTCGGCCAGGAGCGGTGGCTCACGCCTGTAATCCCAGTACTCTGGGAGGCCAAGGCAGGTGGATCACTTAAGGTCAGGAGTTCGAGAGCAGCCTGACCAATACGGTGAAATCCTGTCTCTCCTAAAATTACAAAAATTAGCCGGGCGTGGGCACCTATAATACCAGCTACTCAGGATGCTGAGGCAAAATTTCTTGAACCTGGGAGGCAGTGGTTGCAGTGAGCCAAGATCACACCATTGCACTCCAGCCTTGGCTACTGGCTGAGAGAGAGGAAGACTCCATCTCAAAAAAAAAAGAAGAGAGAGAATCTGTTTTCTTCTGAGGAGACAAAAAGCCAAGACTAGGAATCCAGCCAATGTAAAAAATCTGAACTTTATAAATCAGAAGTTGGCCTGCCCTTGTCTCCCAATAACCATTCCTGTTTTCATTAAGACAGCTTTTAACTCTCTCCAGTAGGATAACCCTTGTTAAGGACTTCCCACATGGAGAAAACCCGTGTGAGAACAGCTCATGTTTGATGAACATTTGCAGATTTGTGAACTGCTTGAAATCCTGAGCTCCCAGGGTCTTTAGCTCTCCAGATGGAAAACACCTAAGGCCAAACAAATCAAATACAGTGAAACACTGGTTACAAGGGAACCAGTCATCTAATTTTTATTTTCCCCTTTAGTTTTTATTTTAAAAATTTGTCCACAAACTGGAATGATGGGGAAGGGAGAATCAGAATTCTTTAGAGATCTTTCCCAGGCACGGCTGTGCATGCCTGTAGTCACAGCTACCTGGGAGACTGAGGTATAAGGATTGCTTGAGCCCAGGAGTTCCAGACCAGCCTGGGCAACACAGTAAGACTCATCTCTACAAAAAATACAAAAATTCCTTAGGGATTGGTTGTGATGATGGGATAACAAGTATCTCTTAGTAGTATGTCAGCTATATTTAAACGGATGGGCATAGGGCTCACACCTATATTCTGACTGGGCATGGGGCTCACACCTATAATCCCAACACTCTGGGATGCTGAGGCAGTCAGATTGCTTGAGGCCGGGAGTTCCATATCAGCCTGGTCAACATAGCGAGACCTCGTCTCTAAAAAGTTTTTAGAAGTTAGCTGGACATGGTTATGCATACCTGTAATCCCAACTATTTGAGAGGCTGAAGTGGGAGGATTGCTTGAACCCAGGAAGTTGAGGCTGGAGTGAGCTATGACTGAGCCACTGCACTCCAGCCTGGGTGACACAGTAAGATCTTGCCTCTAAAAAATAAAGAACTTAAATAAATCAGTAAATAGATGGGTGCTTCTGAGAAGCCTGGAAGAGCCAGTACTCTGAACTGGACACAGTTTTTTTTGTTTTTGTTTTCCTGAGATGCAGTCTTACTCTATCACCCAGGATGGGGTGCAATGGCGTGGCCTCAGCTCACTGCAACCTTCACCTCCTGGGTTCAAGCAATTCTCCCGCCTCAGCCTCCCAAGTAGCTTACTCCTTAAGATGCTACTTATGCCGGGCGCAGTGGCTCACGCCTGTAATCCCAGCACTTTGGGAGGCCAAGGTGGGTGGATCATGAGGTCAAGAGATCAAGGCCATCCTGGTCAACACAGTGAAACCCCGTCTCTACTAAAATAGAAAAATGAGCTGGGCATGGTGGCTCGTGCCTGTAGTCCCAGCTACTCAGGAGGCTGAGGCAGGAGAATTGCCTGAACCCAGGAGGCGGAGGTTGCGGTGAGCCGAGATCGCGCCATTGCACTCCAGCCTGGGTAACAAGAGCGAAACTCCGTCTCAAAAAAAAAAAAAAAAAAAAAAAGATGCTACTTATACATGGAATGATATGGATAAATTTGCAGACATAACATAAAGTGAAAGAAGCCAGAAACAAAAGAGTGAATACTACACAATCTTGTTTATATACAAGTACAAAACAAACAGAGCAGTCTATGGCATCAGGAGCCAGCTGCTCACCCCTAGGGAAGGGGCGGTGCCTCAGAAGGAGCAGGGGGCCTTCAAAGCCCTGGTCAGATCCCATTTTTAAACATAGGTTTGGACCACACAGGGGATGATGCTGACTTTACAAATTCATTTATCTGTTCACTTACATGTGCATTTCTCTACATGTATACTATATTCCAGTAACATTTAAAAATACACTATAATTGGTTTAGCAAATATCTTTATATATAGTACAAATGTTAATTACTCATTCAGTTTGAATCATGAAATAGGAAATTAAATTAAAAATGTTTAATTATTGCCAGGGTTTGTATATTGGAAAAAAAAGAAAAAAAATTTTTTTTTTAATTAAAAAAAGATAATAATTGGCCGGGCGCGGTGGCTCAAGCCTGTAATCCCAGCACTTTGGGAGGCCGAGGCGGGTGGATCACGAGGTCAAGAGATCGAGACCATCCTGGTCAACATGGTGAAACCCCGTCTCTACTAAAAATACAAAAAATTAGCTGGGCATGGTGGCGCGTGCCTGTAATCCCAGCTACTCAGGAGGCTGAGGCAGGAGAATTGCCTGAACCCAGGAGGCGGAGGTTGCGGTGAGCCGAGATCGTGCCATTGCACTCCAGCCTGGGTAATAAGAGCGAAACTCTGTCTCAAAAAAAAAAAAAAAAAAAAAAAAAGATAATTATAAAATGTGTCCTTAAAATATTACCTTTTTCCTTTAGGAAGCTCTTAGATTGACTCCATTTTGAGAAATTCAGCTGGGCATGGTGGCTCATGCCTGTAATCCCAACACTTTGGAAGGCTGAGGTAGGAGGACTGCTTGAGCCCAGGAGTGCAAGACCAGCCTGGGCAACACAGTGAGACCCCCATCTCTACCAATATTTTTTTAATGTGACAAATTCATATTTAAATTTGTAATAACTATATTCCTATCTTTAAAAAACCTCATATTTTTATAGTATGATACCATTGTAGCCAATCTTTCATAAAAGCATTTAATAAAGTTTCTTTTGACCATCAACTTCCCCAAAATTAAAAGTTCTAATGTATTTGGTGCTAAAAGTTTGCATTAGAACTACGCTTGTGCTGTTAAGGAACTGGCAAAGCAATGTAAACAGGCAGTGATACCTTCAGAGAGGCATTCCCTGTTTCCAAAGAATGCAGTTGTCTCTGAACGTACCGTTCTAGACGTGGGCGGGGCAGACGGGCTGGTCAGCGACATGATCTCCTGGATGGCCAGCCTCAGCTTCAGCCTGTGCAGGGGGTTGCTGATCCCGATCTCACGCTGGATCTCTGTGTCGGACAGGGCCGACATGATGGCCCCACTTTTCACATTTGCACGGCAGGCAGCCACATACCAGGCTGGCATCCCAACCCAGAGCTGGAAGCAGAAAGGGGAAGGCAGCAGAGTGAGGCACAGTCTACGAGGTGGAGCAGCAAGTTCATGTAATGTTACCCGCACAACTAAGGATTAAATGAAGGATGTACCTCCAGCCACACCACAACCGTTGGCCCGTCCCATTGGGCAAAAGGTAAACCTTGTCTCCGGGCTTCCTCCAGCAATTCATGCCTACAAAGGAGAAGACACTGAAAATCAAAGAATCAGCCAGGCATGGTAGCTCACACCTATAATCCCAGCTCTTTGGGAGGCCGGGGTGGGAGGATCACTTAAGCCCAGGAGTTCAAGACCAGCCTAGACACATAGCGAAACCTCATCTCTACAAAAAAATTTTGAAACTTAGTGAGGTGTGATGGCACACACCTGTAGTCCCAGCTACTCGGCAGGCTGAGGCAGGAATACTGCTTGAGGCCAGTAGTTCAATAGCAGCCTGGGCAATAAAATGAGATGCATCTCTACCAAAAAAAAAAAAAAAAATTAGCCAGGCATGGTGACACATGCCTGTAGTCTCAGCTACTCGGGAGGGTGAGGTGAAAGGACTGCCTGAGCACAGGAGGTCGAGGCTACAGTAAGCTATGACTGTGCCACTGCACTCCACCCGGGGCAACAGAGTGAGACCTATCTCTCTAAAAAAAAATTAAAACCAGCAAAAACAAAAACAAAATCAAGGAACCACTATTTTTTTTTTTTTTTTTTTTTTTTTTTTTTTTTTTTTTTTTGACACGGAGTTTCGCCCTTGTTACCCAGGGTGGAGTGCAATGGCGCAATCTCGGCTCACTGCAACCTCCGCCTCCTGGGCTCAGGCAATTCTCCTGCCTCAGCCTCCTGAGTAGCTGGGATTACAGGCACGTGCCACCATGCCCAGCTAATTTTTTGCGCTTTTAGTAGAGACGGGGTTTCACCATGTTGACCAGGATGGTCTCGATCTCTCGACCTCGTGATCCACCCGCCTCGGCCTCCCAAAGTGCTGGGATTACAGGCTTGAGCCACCGCGCCCGGCGGAACCACTATTATATGCGTATATATAAGAAGTGAACCAAGAATTATGAGCATTTGGAAAAGTCTAACAGCATACAGTCTGCCCTCTGTATTTGCGGATTCCACATCCATACATTCAACCAACTGCAGATCAAAAACATTCAGGGGGAAAAAAAACAATAAAAAACATATAGTACAACAGCTATTTACATAGCATTTACATAGCATTAGGTATTATAAGTTAACCTGGAGATGATTTAAAGTCTATGTGAGATTCTGCCTAAATTATATGCAAATACCATGCCATTTTATACAGGAGACTTAAGCTTCCATGAATTTTGGTATTTAGGAGGGTCCTGGAACCAATCCCCCATAGACCCTGAGAGACGACTGTAAATTCTCACCATTTTCCTTGAATCTTCTACAGCTTTAATATTGTATCAACACCATCCATTTCACACTAGTTCTGTGTATACTCCAAAGAGTGCCTGAATGAGGAAATACTGACTGGCTCCCTCTGATTCTCCACAGAATCCCCGTCCCCTCAGACAATCAAAGAGTTATTACCAACTTTAAAACACCAGCATTCTTCCCACCCAAGGTATAGAACACCCAAGGAAAACAATCACTATTCCCTTTTAATAAAAGGAAGACAATTATCTGGAAAGAGGAAACCACACCTGGGTCTAAACAAAGTAGCCTCTCTCAATGAGAATCTTTCAAAACGTTCAGCCTTTATCCAAAGGAAGAAGGAAAAAGAACATTGCAGATTTATTTTCTTTTTCCAGACAGACTCTCGCAGGTTCAAGCAATTTTTCTGCCTCAGCCTTTTTTTTTTTTTTTTTTTTTTTTTTCCTTTTTGAGACAGTCTTGCTCTGTTGCCCAGGCTGGAGTGCAGTGGCGTGATCTCACTGAAACCTCTGCCTCCCGTGTTCAAGTGATTCTCCTGCCCCAGCTCCTGAACAGCTAGGACTACAGGCACGTGCCACCACACCCAGATAATTTTTTCTATTTTTTGGTAGAGACGGGGTTTCACTGTTAGCCAGGTATCGATCTCCTGACCTCATTATCTACCCCCACCTCAGCCTCCCAAAGTGCTGGGATTACAGGCATGAGCCACCATGCTTGGCCGCCTCAGCCTTTTGAGTTGCTGGAACTATAGGCATGCACCGCCCAGGCTGGCTAATTTTTTTTTTTTTTTTTTTTTTTTTGTATTTTTAGTAGAGAAGGGGTTTCACCATGCTGGCCAGGCTTGTCTTGAACTCCTGACCTCATGATCCGCCCACCTCCACTTCCTAAAGTGCTCGAATTACAGGCGTGAGCCACCCACCATGCCCGGCCATACTGCAGACTTTTAACACTAAAATGTTATGATCTAATGTAGCAGACAAGTAGTGGATAGCTGTCTCTACTCTATAGTGCCATTTAGCTGACTACTTGCTGAATGAAGTCACCGGGGCATCTGCGGTTTACTCCACAGGCTTCCTACCCAGGAGATTTGAAATGCTAACAGCTTTCTCAGTGCAGGGGGAGCCTGAATGCAAGAATGTGTCACTGGTGACCACAAGGAGGCAGGCAGGGTTAGTGCTGCCACACATCTCTTTGTGTGATCGTAAATATTCTGTATGCCTTATTTTTAAATACCCCACATAATTTTGTCTGACATGGGTATTTGAGAAATACCACTATAAGCTTGGTGAATCTCATCTTATTTCTCAAGGCTTTCAAAGAGACTAATTGTTTAAAAACATAAAAAGCCTCAGACAGAAGGTCTCATTGTAACGGAGAGGACACGTACATTTGGTTTGCGCCCACGGATGCCCCCAGGTCACTTAAACATCCCTAGGCTGCTTTTAGTTCATTTTCTCCATCATAATTTCTGTAAGACATGCCATACAATCTCTTATTTCTAAAAATTTGGTACTGGCTCTTGAATGTATTTCAACAGCAGCAGACTTTCCTTAGGACTACGAAGTGGAATCGCAAGAGGCCAACACCAAATGAAGGGGCGGGAGGAAGGGCACGCTGTCTGCTGCCAATCATCAGGTGGCGGCTGAAAACCTGCCTTCTGTTCCCTTGGGACAAATGCTCCTCAAAGACAGCTAGCGGAGCTTCCATCACACACTGGTGGGTCTAGGAAGTAGTACAGGTAATTCCTGCCACATCGATCACAGAAAAAGTTCTGAACGCTAACGATATGGTTAACTGTTAAGGCCCTGAGCATCCACGGCCGGGCCAAGGAGAAGGGAGGACTTCACTACTGCCAAGTCAGGAGGGTTTTCAGCCTGTGCTCAGCCTTTGCAATCTGCCAGAGACTTTGTTTTTTAACAAGTAATAGATACTTACTGTAAACAAAAATACGGGGTCAAAAAAATAATTCTTTACTTCTATTACTTAGAGACTGGTGTACACTGTCCTGGACTGCACCAGCACCTCTTCCTGGCAACGGTCGCTAGCTTTCATAAAAAGTCTTTTTTAGAATGGAGACGCTTCTGGGTTCAGAGGCAACAGTGGAGACAGTGTTAAGACAGTGGAGGTAGAAGGATGTGTGTAAGAGTCGCAGGAAGTTAGGGAGCTGGCGGAGGAGATCCCAGTTGGGTGGCAGGCCCAGGCCTTGCTCTGTGTCCTGGCTCCCCTCCCCTATCACACCAGTCCATGGTCTGTAAGACCAAACATGGGACCTGACCCCTGGGCTGGCTCTCCAGGTGGGAACCCTAGAGCCTCTGTTTTCACTGGGGGGGTGTTGGGGAGGGGGCTGTTCCAATCGTGGGAAGAAGGCCCCTGTACTGAGAGGACGCAGAGCCCAGCACCTGGAGGTGGCTGAGAACATGCCAGTCCAGCCCTCTGGGCTGTCTAGTTACATGAACAACTACATTCCTCCTTGTCGCCTGATCTCAGACTTGGGTCTTTCACTTGATACTGAGAACGCTATAAAGCAAAAAGGCCACATAATTTGTGAATAATGATGCACATTTTATAATTAGGACATAGCATAATGATAAGGTTACCTTTCATAATGAGAAACCTGTGTGAGTTCTGGCAGATCAAATAGTATATAAGGGATAGAGAAGCAGCACTTTCTCTTAACTGTCCAAAGTAAATATATTGCTTTGCTTTCCTAAGATCTTTTCAATCCTCTGGCACCCTGCATAGTGAATGAGACTTGCTTTCACAGGTACAGCTGCCGCCTGAGTGACAGAGCAGGACTCTCTCCAAAACACAGCAACAAAATAACACCACCACCACAAGTACAGTTGTGATCCAGTCAAAGCCCCTTCCAGGCTCCATGGCCATGGCACACTGGAAGAGTCCTGAGGACAGATGTACGGTCACCCTAATGAGAAATGGATGGAGTCAGCATTTCTCATGCAAAACTAAAAAGATGCTTGGGCTGGGTGTGATGGCTCATGCCTGTACTCGCAACACCTTGAGAGGCGGAGGCGGGAAGATCACTTGAGGCCAGGAGTTCAAGACCAGCCTGGTCAACACAGTGAGACCTCTGTCTCTACTAAAAAGAAAAGGTCAAGGCTGCAGTGAGTGGTGAATATGCCACTGCACTTCAGCCTGGGAAACAGAGCAAGGGCCTGTCTCAAAAATAAAACAATAAAAAGATCCTCTCACAAAGCTCAGCACAGAGCTGGTGACTGCCCACACTCAGCCTAGCAAGCCTCCCAAATCTGCTTACCTGAGAAAGCACTATGAAGACAAAAAACAGAAAATAAAAAGGGAACACTTTAAAAGCAAGGTTACTTAAAGAGATGGAGTTTCAATAATACTGGGGAATTCCAGGAGGACTGTGAAAGCCCTATCAAAGCTGACAAATGGCTTTGGGACAGCCAGCCCCAACTCGCGGGTTCATTACTACACATCTCAGGCAGCAAACGCCCGCACCATGCTGCGTCGTACAAAACTTGAAATTAGCTTGCCGCCTAACTCCCCAGGTTCCTTAAGTTCTCTGTAAGTGAAAGCACTGGCTGGGTAAATTTAGCAGTTAAAAGCACATCTTTTGAGTTAAATCAGGGGTTAATAAGAAGAAAGTAATTCCGAGAAATATACTTTCATTCTTAAATCAAGAATGTCATAAATGTTAAACAGTCTTCACACAATCCTTTTTCTGGAAAACGCAATTTTTTCACATTTATAAACAAACACTTTAGGCTGGGTGTGGTGGCTCATGCTTGTAATCCTGGCACTTTGGGGGGCTGAGGTGGGCAGATCACTTGAGGTCAGGAATTCGAAACCAGCCTGACCAACATGGTAAAATGCCAGCTCTACTAAAAATTCAAAAAAATTAGGTGGGCATGGTGGCACGCACTTGTAATCCCAGCTACTGGGAGGCTGAGGCAGAAGAATCGCTTGAAGCTGGGAGGCGGGAGGTTGCAGTGAGCCAGGATTGTGCCATTGCACTCCAGCCTGGGTGACGGAGTGAGACTCTGTCTCAAAAGAAAGAAAGAAAGAAAGAAAGCACTTTTTCTAAAATCAATTTTATCTCAATTGAAGTGAAAGAAACGAAACTGCCCTCTACAGGCAGACAAATAATCTTTGTACTTGGAAATTTTCCGTACTAAGGTGCTGGTACATTGCAGGGCTTCCACATGGATCCCAAGCACAGCATAAAGGACAGAAAAGACCCCCTCTCAGACACTCAGTCACAGCTGTGACAGCAGAGTCAGATGTTTAGTGCCCACAGCACACATTGAACATCACAGCTCCACAGAACCCTACCTACCACCGACACATGTACACACGTGTAAGAAGCCAGCATGACGTTTAATCACAAGGAACACAAAGGCTGTCCTCAGGCTCAGAGCAATGGCTCGTGCCTTTAATCTCAGCACTTTAGGGAAGTCAAGAAGGGAGAATTGCATGAGCCCAGGAGTTCAAGACCAGCTTGGGCAACATAGGGAGATCACGTCTCTACAAAAAAAAAATAAAATAAATTAGCCAGGTAGGTGGCATGTGCCTGTAGTCCTAGCTACCTGGGAGGATATAGTGGGAGGATCGCTTGAGCCCAAGAGGTTGAGGCTGCAGTAATATCATGCCACTGCACTCTGGGCGACAGAGCAAGACCTGTCTCAGAAAACAACAACAAAAAACAAAGGCTGTCTACTTAACAGCCCAGTGCTCAAACATACCTCCTAGGAATTATAAAATAAATTTTAAAAACAGAATAAAAAATTTTGGAGCAGGCACGGTAGCTCATATCTGTAATCCCAGCACTTTGGGAGGCTGAACAGGCAGATCACCTGAGTTCGAGACCAGGCTGCCCAACATGACGAAACCCCGTCTCTACTAAAAATACAAAAAATTAGCCGGGTGTGGTAGTGGGCACCTGTAGTCCCAACTACTCAGGAGGCTGAGGCAGCAGAGTTGCTTGAACCCGGGAGGTGGACGTTGCAGTGAGCCAAGATGGTGCCAATGCACTCCAGCCTGTGCGACAAGAGGGAAACTCCATCTCAAAAAAAAAGGGGAGGCGGGCATGTCTACAATTTTTTTTTCCTATGTAAAACACAAACTTCTGGGGTAAGGGAGTGGTTGGACCAAGCTGCACTGCCACAAACCTTACTGTTTTTATTATAGTAAGTATGAGGAAGTGAAATAAAACACATTAGCAAAAATCTAAGGAATGCAATTTTCCTAGCATGGTTCCAGGAGGCAGAAAGTTTAGTTCTAACATTAAGTTTCACAGGGCCAAATAGCAACTACCCAAGTTATTTTAAAACATTCTTACACAGTTCAAACATAGCAATGTTCAAATCAGATTTCGCTGTTCAGTGGTTTCTATAAATTTCCATTTACAGGGAACCAAGAAACTGAGTATTCCTATGGTATTAACATACAGCATTTCACCTAAAATGTAATCAACAAAGTATTTATAATGGCTTTGAAAACACAACTAAAATGGGGTAAATTTCACAACAGAAAAATCAGCCGGCAACTCTAGGGGCTAAAGGCAAAGGGGCCGCTAAGGCAGAGGGTCTCCGAAAGCTCTGGAACACCTGTGGACCAGTGTTTTGAGCCCCAACTTCCAGATGACTGTTGGGTTTCTCAGGGCACTTAAGAGTGGCCAGATGATTTTTCCCAAAGTCAGAGTCACCACACAGCCCTTTACGTTTCACCCTGTCTCAAGGCCTTTATTACCATCTTCCACATTTCTCAAGCTCAGCTCTCACCCCACAGACTACACAAACTGCCTGTTTTGTTGCAGAAATGGGTTTAGTTTTGTTCTTCATTTGTTAGCTCACTTGGGTATTGTCTCAGCCTATCTAGTTCATCCACAGTCAACCAACACACAATTCACCCCGAATCAGAGAAGGCATGGGGACAGAAACCCCCAATTCTTTCATGCCCTTACCCTGGGGCATCACAATGCCTGTGCTCCTTTGTTGAAAGCCATACCAAATAGTATAGCTTCTTGTCAGACAGATTTAGTTTAGAATTAAAACTTAATAAACAGGCTACAGAATCTGGAGTCTACTTGAGATAAAAACACAAAATCTAGAGAAGAGAAAGATATGCAACACGTGAATGTTTCCGACAGATCACCAGCACGAACAGCAAATCTTGAGCACCGGCAGGCAACAACTGCTGCCGCAGCCACATCACAGCTCGTTTATGACTTACTGGCACTGTTTAAAGGACTTTATGCACATTGTCCCATTTCATTCTCGTAAAAGCCATACAAGGTATGTACTACTAGGATCCCCACTTTACAGAAAACTGAAGCATAGAGATGCTAAGTCACTTCCTTGACGTCACAAAGTGACCCTGGGCAGGTGCAGGCCGACTCCAGTGCTCAGGCAGCTAAGTCCAACTCTCAGCCACCCCATCGCCTAGTTGGACAACTTTTCAAGGTGACAGGAACATCGTGTGAATTTCTTCAAAATTTCACAAACGCTCTAAGTCTTCCAGAAAGTATGGCTTAATTAAGGCTGTAGGTAAAGCTTTCAGAATATAATGTATATACACATAGCTAGATATTTATAATTGACAAACACTACTTAGAGCTTAGGCACAACTGAAAACCATTCAATGAGATGAAGAAATAATACAAAGCTTACTTTTTTTGAAGTTTACGATTTTTTTCAGCCTGTCCTCCCAATTTGCTAAGTCCCAAGGCATCCTGAGATGAGTTATCCATTTCGGAAACACCAGCTATGGGAAGCAGAACAGCCAAAAGGAAAATCAGCATGACAGACTTCTATGTTTTCAATAGCTGGATGAGTATTTGCAGGTTCAGAGCAAAATCATTTTTTAAGGCTAAGCTTCTGACTAGACAACTAAATGCGCAGGACAAAAATGGTCAAGACAGGATCGCTGGAGAGCGTACGGCTCCCGGAGCACCGCGTGGGAACCGCTGGCCAAGCATGCAGCAGGCACCGAAGGCAGCACCTTCCCCCCCAGTTCCTGGCTGCTGAGAAGGGTGTGGAAAACCAACCAACCTTGTCCTAATGCGTCTTTGCCAGTTTGTCCAGGTCGGCCCTTTTCTTTCTTGCCAAACAAGCGGCCAATGGAGGACTTAATGCCCTTCTTCTTGGGGGCTTTGTGGAGTGAGTCCTGGCTACTGTTGCTGCTGCTGGGATTGCTCACGGGACCGTCCTGGGAGCCTGTGGAGCTTCGCGGAAAGAAAACAGACCTTTACCACGTGCCCTTGTTACCACACTCCACCCACACGCACCAGGATACTTCACGTAGTAACAGTTGCAATCTTCCCCACAAGCACCTCCAGTCTCTTTCTCACACACCTTCCTCACCAAGCGCAAGGTGCATGACAAAGGCAGGCTCCCAGCAAGGCCAGCGCAGAGACTCCTTCTGGGCAGCTGAGACTCTCTCTGACACGGAGCTCCCCTCCCCTCCAGCGGAGGCCCTGACTCTGCGCCATCAGGTGCCAAGCCCAATGGTCCGTCTTCCTCCCCTCCAGTAGCTCCCACAACCGCCCTGAGCATTACTCTTCTCAGCGGAGAAACTCAGCAATGTTAACTGCTGCAAAAATTAATATACACGCCTCCCCTTGTATACTGCCTGGTACAGAACCAAAATCCAACAGAGTTCAAAAAAAGACAGCATAGGGCCGGGCACGGTGGTTCAAGCCTGTAATCCCAGCACTTTGGGAGGCCGAGGCGGGTGGATCACGAGGTCAAGAGATCGAGACCATCCTGGTCAACATGGTGAAACCCCGTCTCTACTAAAAATACAAAAAATCAGCTGGGCATGGTGGCGCGTGCCTGTAATCCCAGCTACTCAGGAGGCTGAGGCAGGAGAACTGCCTGAACCCAGGAGGCGGAGGTTGCAGTGAGCCGAGATCGAGCCATTGCACTCCAGCCTGGAAAACAAGAGAGAAACTCCGTCTCAAAAAAAAAAAAAAAAAAAAAGACAGGATACTAGTTACAAAATAGCTAACTGGTTTCCTGAGAGAAGACATTTAATAAGTGGGTAAAGTACAGCATGGAACTCTCAACAGCCTACAAAGGCACAAGAGGGCATCTGAGAGGCACGGGTTGTCCTAGAGTGGATCCGATCCCAAGCCTGTCATCTGCCTGCCAAACTCTCCATCAAGAATAGAAAGTAGTCAATTTGTAGACTCTGAAGATGTTAAGTTTTTCTAGAATTTGCTGCTATCACTTAACTCCTTTCTTTCTAAACTAAGCCTTCCCAAACACGTGTGCGTCTTCTGCTGGATTTCACTAAAGCACACAGCAGTGGTAGGCATTCTAAGTGTAACAGGTAAATACGCCCATCTGAATTAACGGGTAATTCTAGAAAATCACTGTTCTATTTAAGAAAAGATTCCCGGATGTCTCAACACTGGAAAGGAGAGGACAAGCAGGCTCTGCACGGGGCTGTTGCAGGCTCCTTACTTCCTTAGGTCCCTGACGTCCTCATGGCTGACGGTGTGCAGCGCCCCTTTGTGTAGCCGGTCTAACCGAAGGGCTCTGGGGGAGGAAGGCGGGGAGGTTTCACACTTGATAGTTGTCTTGTCATCTCGTACCTCTTCTCTGGAAGCTGGCAACTGAGGGGTGAGAAAAGCACAACATTAACGGCAGACTGTGAAAAAAAATCAGGCCTTAAATTATAACCATAAACTTCTTAGCAAATCAATTTGCTGCGCTTTCTGCCAGCACAGAAAGTCTTGTTTTCTGCAGAGTCACGCAGCACAGCAAGCACAGAGCCGTGAGACTCCTGGTCTACGTGACCTGGTGCCCGGCAGGACACAGGGATGCCCCTCAGCCTCAGCCTCCTCCATGCAGCCCAAGGCTCTGCCCTCCCTGGAATCCTAGGCGCATTATGAGGACAGTCACTGAAGGGGCAGCAGAGATCTAAACAATGCCTATAAACCACACCATTACAAATGTTAGACAAATGAAGAGCCAGCAACAAATACGTTTATCTCCTAATGTCTTTCCAAAAAAAAAAAAAAACCCAAAAAACCACAGAGAGGGCAGAAATCTCTTGGGCAAAACTGTCAAGTACCTTTTTGTCTGAAAGGGAAAGAAAATAAACAAGAAAGAGCCCATGATCTCCCCCCCATACACGTGTATAACTCGTATTTCTCCATCATGGTTGGATTGGACACTATAAACTGAAGCACTTCTACGCAGTTTAAAAATTTTTGTTCAATATGGTTTAAAAGAAAATACTTCCAGGCTTATCATTAAAAGATGATCGCTGTCAGACTCCCAGGGTTTTTTGTTTTTACAATGGAACATGAATACACCTGTGTGCTGAGGGAACATGACGGTGGTAACACAGTGAACAGATTCACCTCTTCAGGGTCTAGGCAGATCCTGCTTATACGTTTGTGTTTTCTGGTTTTAAATGGGACTAGATTTCATGAAACATGTTCAGCAAGCATTACTATGAAAAGTAAGACCTGAACAGCGAACCACATCTTACTTAAAAAATTTTTAAGAGACAGGTTCTTGCTACGATTCCCAGGCTGGACTGCAGGGGCTGTTTGCAGGCGTGATCCCTGTGCACTACCACCTCAAACTCCTGGGTTCAAGTGATCCTTCTGCCTCAGCCTCCAAGATACCAGGTGGGACTAGAAGCACGTACCACTGGGCTCAGCTTGAACTTCTGCTTTGTAAATGGGACCGTGTAAAGTATATCAGTCCTACCACAGCCCCACGGCAGCTCAGTGAGAACCAAGTTCATTCACACAAAATGGAGCTGTGCTCATACTAACAGTTAAAATGCAAAGGAATCCTGCAACATTTCCTAATTTCCAATTGCAATCACAAGACAACGAATAGCTTTCATAGCTAGAAATGATCAAAATGAAGCTTAAGTTTCAAAATTCAGGTTAAAGCAATCATTTGTTTAAAAAAACAAAACCAGAAACAGGATAGAGAGCAAGCTGACATGGCCTGCTGTCAACTATGAATAACAGGGTCCATGGGGAGAGCCCCTCGAGACCAGCCAGCACTGCCCTCCACACCCCGACAGCACGCTGTGGTGCGGTGACATGCCAGACCTCTGCCTCCATCCTGGCTCAGACTCACCAGAATGCAGGGAAGTCCTCTCAGTGTACACCAACACCACTGACACAGAGGAGGAGGGCGACAGTCTCCTGTGGACCAGGGCTGGCACCAGGCCTGGCACTCTGCACATACACCTGGTTTAACTTCACAACCACCTGAGGACGAGGCTCCTCAAAGCCACCAAGCAGCACACTGAAGTGACCAGTGACCAAGAGGCCCAGGTTATCATGCATATGTCAACCAACATGCTGCTTCCTTCACTCAGAAAATCTTTCTATCAACAAGGAAAGAAAAAACAATCCAATAGAAGTCAGCTGAACTGAAGGCCGTGCTCCATCGTGCTGCTGCTGGTGTAAGCTCCTTGTCTCACCGCAGACAGGCACAGGTCCAAGGCCACCTTAAGTGGCACTGTCATATCATTATCTTCACTTCTCAGGAGAGCAAACTAAGGCACAACAGACCCCAGGTTACAAACTCATCAGTGACTGAACTGGGATCTGAACCCAAACAGTTTCACGAAATCACCCAACAGAGCAGCTCATAGACAGCTGCTGACCAAGTCACACACTTTTCTGACGACACCTGCCTTTGCACACTGAAGAGCTGTCCAGTCACTGCACCATCAGGCAGGTTTTGGACCAGAGCGTGAAAGTTATGAGGTAGAGATTCTGGGTCAACATAAAGAACAGCCACTGATGACATCTGCTCCTAACGTACTCTACTTCCTGTGAGGACAGGAAGGCCCAATCCACAGCTGGCTGTAAGGAGAAGTGGCCATGGGCTCCCTCTGTAGGAATGCTGCCAGGGAGGTCAGAGTATCTGAGAAAAGTAAGGCTGCATGGTGAAGAGGCCAGCCGCAGGTTCTGAGATCAGACACAGCTGAACTCAGATCTGCACTGTGCATCGTGGGGCCTCTCTAAGCTTTGGTTTCCACATCTGTGAAATGCGGAGAAAAACAGTAACCTACAGCTCACAGGGATGTGTATGGGGATTAAACACAGGCTGAGCATTGAACATCCAAAAACCTTAAATTCAAAATGCTCCAAAATCTACAATTTGAGTGCGAACATGACGCTTGAAGGTAATGTTCAATGGAGCATGTCAGATTTTGGATTTTCAGGTTTCAGAGGCTCAACCAGTAAGTGTAATGCAAATATTTCAAAAATTCAAACAAATCTGAAATAGCCCTGGCCCTGAACAACTCAGTTCAGAGACACTCAGCCTGCAGCAGACTGGGAGCGCACTCAGCACACTGCCCAGCCTACAGCAAAAGCCCACTGCTAGCTGGGATGATTATAAAAATGAGCCCCCGAATTCACAATCTATAGCTTTGCACTAGTAATTTCTTATTTTTAAAACTACTACATCTATATGAATAAGCATGCAATGATTAGAAGGCTGAAGAGGTGAGAGAATGGCAAGCTCTTACATTTGTCCCAGGGTTCTATGAAAACCGCTAATGACCAATTTCTAAGAGAACAATCATCAGTAAGATGGGGTCACTTCAAACACTTCCATTAAAATGCCAACCATTCATTATTATACAGCTACACAATGCTACATTTATGTAAAATATAATAGGTATTCTTCAATACATTATGGAGATACAAAGATAGATTAAATTACTAAATAATTTACCTTTCTACGATGTTTCCTTAAGTCACTAGGCTGATAAGATGCATGCAAAGAAATGAAGAGAAACCAGATTTACTGTACACTTTGAAGTTAAAAATTCAAGGATCAATATAAGCAAATATATTAAAATGGAAATGACAGGAGGGAGAATTTAGAGAAAATGTAACTGGATGAAGAACATTTTTTCACCACAAAATTTAAATATAAATTATTCAAGGTTTACTCAACACTACAAATTACTAGATAAATTCTGTTTTGTCATGAGTTTTATTAAAATGTGACGTTCTATATAATAAAAGGCCCTAACAGTTATCTCTTCTAAGCCAAACCTCTCTATAACTTAGTTCTGTTTAATAAAATCCATGTTATAATTTAAAATATTCCAACTGATGAGGAAGTTACTGCAATACCGATTATAAATCTCAACCAACCTACTTATTAGTTAACTACCTATTGGACATTAATGTAAAACCCTTACCTAGATATGATTTATCACTTCTCAAAACTAAATTTATTGCTTAAAGCAAGGTATCCTGTGAAAATAAACAAGAACAAAAGCTAGCATAGTATTATGTAGAACCTTCACATCCATCCTACGATTCATGTAAGATATTTTAATTTAAAAATATTCTATTAGACATAGTAGTTGATGAGATTCAATAAGCTGATGAAATTTACCATCTTGAGTACAATAATCAAAACCAGAAAGCATATTGTTTGTGTAAAAAGCTTCCATTAATTCTATACTTAGATTATTTATGTAGGAAATACTTATGAATTACACAAATCCTACATAATTTGAATAAAAACACTCTAAAACACCTATGACTTGCCTGTATCCACACTTATTATATAGTGATACACTAATTTAAATTTATTAACATTGAGAAAAAGACTATTTTTTTTTGAGACAGAGTTTTGCTCTTATCACCCAGGCTGGAGTGCAGTGGCGCGATCTCCGCTCACTGCAACCTCTGCCTCCTGGGTTCAAGTGATTCTCCTGCCTCAGCCTCCCAAGTAGCTGGAATTACAGGTGCCTGCCACCATACCTGGCTTAATTTTTGTATTTTTTTTAGTAGAGACGGGGTTCACCATGTTAGCCAGGCTAGTCTTGAACTCCTGACCTCAGGTGATCCACGAGTCTTAGCCTCCTAAAGTGCTAAGATTACAGGCGTGAGCCATCGCACCCAGCCCCAAGAAACAGATAGTTTTAACTGAGAAAAAAAACAACAACCCATTAATAAAGTCATCACAGCACGGACTCACACATGATTGAAAACATACAGTTGCATGGTTCCCTGAGCATGCTGTGAAGAATTGTTATAGCATGAGGAAGAGCTGGGAGGGGAGGTGTGTGAGTAAGCTACAGACTGATGGGAATGTGAGGTCTGGATTAAAAATAAATCTGGAGATGGCTAAAATCAGAAAACAAAAGGATGACAAGAAATCAAAACCAATGACAGAAGCACAGAGACTGTCAGCCAGCATGTGGAATTACAAAACATGAAAAAAATACGTATGAACAACTGTTTTTACAAATTCTCTGGACAAAAATAAGCATGAAACCACAAATAAAGAGTTTAAAATATTACCTAATTAGTAGATGATGTAAATTATAAAAAAACAGTATTACAAAATACTGCAAAATAGACTAGTTTCTACCTCATATGCCACTAAAACAATTCATAGTTGATTTAATTACATGCTGGCTAACAACACAACTAAAAATGAAAATAGATGGTAATGAGAAAAAAATATGATAGAAGCACAGTTAAAAAGCAGAATGTTGTAAATATGAAATATTTCACTGACAACACACTGACAAATCCTAGACTAAATATGCAAGATAGTCTGGTTTTTTATTTTAATTTTTTAAAAACAGAGATGAGGTTCTCACCACGTTGCCAAGGCTGATCTCGTAACTCCTAGCTCAAGCAATCCTTCCACCTTGGTTTCCCAAAGTGCTGGGATTGATTACAGGCGTGAGCCACCGTGCCAGGCCCACAAGAAAGTTTTAAACACACCTCAGATTTGCACACTTTGCAAACAGCAAACACCAGAAGCATCACATTTTGAGATCAGAGGTGACCCTAAGCTGCTGTGAAGAAGCGCCCAGCAGCCGGCTTGTTCATGGCTTTCCATGCAGAGCCCATTTGGCTTTTTTCCTGCTTTTTTCGTAGTGCATGCCCCGGAACGGGGTTTGGCACTCCTACAGGAAAGAAATGCACTGATTCCCTTTGTACAGTCTCTCTTATGCTCTGATGTCTGCCTTTATTTACTTTGCTAAGTGTTTTGTCCTAGAAAACAGAAAAGGTTTCCCCTTCTGGCTGTTGTATTCTGCATAGCTATTGTGCCTAATGTCACACAAACAAATGGCGACATGCTAGCCTGGTCATCCAAATATTACAATTTCTTTATGTCTTTTGGGACTTTGTTGTTTGAGACAGGGTTTCACTCTGCTGCCCAGGCTGGAGGGCAGTAATGCAATCACGGCTCACTGTAGCCTCGACTTCCTGGGCTCAGGTGATCCTCCCACCTCAGCCTCCAGAGTAGCTGGGACTACAGGCACACGCCACCATGCCCAGTTACTTTTTGTAAAGATGGGGTTTTCCCATGTTGCCCAGCTGGTCTTGACCTCCTGGGCTCAAGTGATCTACCCACCTCAATTTCCCAAAGTCCGGGATCACAAGTGTGAGCCACCACGCCTGGCCCCAAATATTAAACTTAATTTGTCATAATGAAATGATTAAATAGTAACCAGTTTTTATCATCTTGAACCTCTTAGAGAAACAAATGTACTTGATTTTCTTGTGGGTAAATGTGTAGTGTCCAAGATCTCATACAGGTGTGCTGGGGGCAGCCACAGCAGGGAAAGGGCGGATACGTACAAGGGTCATGACGCCCAGTCTGTCCACTTCCCGGGCTGGGCTGTGAGGAATCCTTCGTGGAGTGGAGCGCCCACTGCTTGGAGGGGAGGAGCTAGCAAGCGAGGAAGCAGGATACGGGGGAATGGAGCTCATTGATCTAAAACGACCAAGATTGTCTAGACTTCCACTGCCAACTCGATTTTCAATCTCCTCTGCCCGCTGCTCTGTGTTTTCTTTTTCTTCTTGAATCAACCTAAAATAAAACAAAAGCAGTCAGTCCTCCTGTGTCGGCAAACAGATTAATGTGTTTGTGTGGGGGAAAAAAAAAGCCGGCTTACACTCTGTATACTGTGGGTTAACTCTAACATTAAGTTGCTCAAACAATGAACACTTTAGCAAAACTGTTCTACTCTTTTTTAGTTTTTATGCTTTTTGAGACAGGGTCTCACTCTGTCATCCTGGCTGAGGTGCAGGAGTGTGATCACAGCTCACTGCAGGCGTAAACTCCTAAGCTCAAAGCATCCTCCCGTCTCAGCCTCCCATGTAGCGGGGGCCATAGGTACATACCACCATGCCTGGCTCATTTAAAAAGTTTTTGTAGAGATGAGGTCCTCCTATTTTGCCAAGAGTGGGCTCAAACTCCTGGCTTCAAGCAATCCTCCAATCTCAGCCTCCTCCCAAAGTGGTGGAATTACTGTCATGAGCCACCACACCGGCCTCAATCTTTTTTAATATACTACATCTTAGAACAACAAAAAAGAAATCTTCCATTGTGTCCTGTTGGTTCTGGATAGCATTCATATTTGATTTTACTTATTTATACTAAAATTTTGGAGATGGCCAGATGCCAATTTTTCCTATGGTTGCAATTAATAATTTTCTTACTAAGCAATATTTTTAAATTGTATAACCCTTATCTCCCCTATTCTTAGAGCAAAGCTGTAGACTTTATAGATTTCTTCTACTGGAAATCAAGAACTCTAATGTAAAGAACAGATCCACAAAGCAATTAGGAGTTTAGACTAAATGAAAATACTGAGAGAAGATCCAAGATGGCAGAATAGGAATAGCTCTGGAGTGCAGTTCCCAGAGAGAACACAGAGGGTGAGTGATCACCACATTTCCAAACGAGTTTTTACTGCCCACAGACCAGGAGATTCCTGGGTGGAAAAGGGCCATGAGTCTCCAGCACAGCTATTTCAGCCGGCGTAGTGGGTCTCTGCACAAAAACTCGCACAAATCTGGGCGGCCGTTTCAAATGGCACCTGGAACGCCTGGGAGACAGAGTCATCCATTCAACTGAAAGAAAGGGGGCTGAAACAGGGAGCCAGGTGGTCTGGCTTGGCAGGTCCCACCCCCACAAAGACCAGCAATCTGAAATGCTCTGGACTGAGAGTTTCACAGCAAGCACTACTGAGGCAGTTCTAACTAGACCTCTATAAACAAAACCGCAAGGAAGTTCACACAGCAGCTAGGCAGGGCCCATGGCAGCTCAGCAACGCCCGTGCTGGCAGACTGTGACAAGGCTACCGCCTCAATGGGCAGGACGTCTCTGAAAAAAGGCAGCAGCATGTTCAGAAACTTATAAAGCCCCACCTTCCCAGGACAGAGCACCAGGGAAAAACCGGCGATTATGAGTTCTGCTGCAGCAGACTTAAACGTACCTGTGCAGCAGCTCTGAACGGAACAGCGGGGCTCACAGCTCAGCACTTAAGCTCCTATAAGGGACAAACTGTCTCCTCAAACAGTTCCCCAACCCCCGTATATCCAAAGAGGCACCTCATAAAGGAGAGCTCAGGCTTACATCTGGTGGGTACCCTTCTGGGACAAAGATAGCAGAAGAAGAAACAGGCAGCAACCCTTACTGTTCTGCAGCCCTCGCAGGTGATCCCCAGGCAAGCAGGATCTGGAGTGGACCTCCAGCAATCCTATAGCAAAGGGGCCTGACTGTTAGAAGGAAAACTAAAAAACAGGAAGAAATAACTTCATCATCAACAAAAAGGACGTCCACTCAGAGACCCCATCCAAAAGTCACCAACTACAAAGACCACAGGTAGATAAATCCACAAAGATGGGAAGAAACCAGCGCAAAAAGGATGAAAACACCCAAAACCAGAACGCCTCTCCTATTCCAAGGGATCACAACTCCTCACCAGCAAGGGAGCAAGGCTGGATGGAATGAGTCTGATGAATCAACAGAAACAGGCTTCAGAAAGTGGGTAATAACAAACTTCTCTGAGCTAAAAGAACATGTTCTAACCCAATACAAAGAAACTAAGAATCTTGAAAAGGTTTGATGAAATGCGAAGGAGAAGAACAGCTTAGAGAAGAACATAAATGAATTGATGGAGCTGAAAAACACACCAAGAAAACTTTGCAGAGCATATACAAGTTTCAATAGCCGAATCGACCAAGAGGAGGAAAGGACAGCAGAGACCGATGATCAATTCAATGAAATAAAACGAGAAGCCAAGATTAGAGAAAAAAGAGTAAAAAGAAATGAATAAAACCTCCAAGAAATATGAGATTATGTGAAAAGTCCTAATCTACGTTTAATAGGTGTATCTGAGTGTGACGGAGAGAATGCATCCAAGCTGGAAAACACTCTTGAGGACATTATCCAGAAGAACTTCCCCGACCTAGCAAGGCAGGCCAATACTCAAGTCCAGGAAATACAGAGAACACCATAAAGATATTCCTCAAGAACAACAAGCCCAAGGCACATAATCGTCAGATTCACCAGGGTTGAAATGAAGGAAAAAATCCCAAGGGAAGCCAGAGAGAAATCGGGTTACCCACAAAGGGAAGCCCATCAGACTCACAGCGGATCTCTCAGCAGAAACCCTACAAGCCAGAAGAGAGTAGGAGTCAATAATCAACATCCTTAAAGAAAAGAACTTTCAACCTAGAATTTCCTATCCAGCCAAACTAAGCTTCATAAGCTTCATGGAAACTGAACAACTGGCTCTTGAATGTTGACCGGATAAACAATGAAATGAAGGCAGAAATAAAGATGTTCTTCGAAACCAATGAGAACAAAGACCACAATGTACCAGAATCTCTGGGACACATTTAAAGCAGTGTCTAGAGGAAAATTTATAGCAATAAACGCCCAAATGAGAAGCAAGAAAAGATCTAAAATCAATACCTTATCATGAAAATTGAAAGAGCTAGAGGAGCAAGATCAAAAAAACTCAAATGCTAGCAGAAGACAAGAAATAACTAAGATCAGAGCAGAATTGAAGGAAACAGAGACAAAAAAAACCCTTCAAAAAAATCAATAAATCCAGAAGCTGGTTTTTTGAAAAAAATCAACAAAATAGACAGGCCCTAGCCAGATTAATAAAAAAGAAAAGAGAGAAGAATCAAATAGATGCAATAAAAAACGATAAAGGGGAGATCACCACAGATTCCACAGAAACTCAAACTACCATCAGAGATTACTACAAACAACTCTATGCACATAAACCAGTAAACCTGGAAGAAATGGATAGATTCCTGGACACTTGCCTCCTCCCAAGCCTAAACCAGGAAGAAGTCAAAACCCTGAATAGACCAATAACGAGGTCTGAAGTTGAGGCAGAAATTAAGAGCCCACCACCCAAAAAAAGCCCAGGTCCAGATGGGTTCACAGCCAAATTCTACCAGACATACAAATAGGAGCTGGTAGCCACTCCTTCTGAAACTATTCCAAAGAATCCAAAAAGAAGGAATCCTTCCCAAATCATTTTATGAAACCAACATCATCCTGATACCAAAACCCGGCAGAGACTCAAGAAGAAAAGAAAACTTCAGGCCAATATCCATGATGAATATAGATGCAAAAATCTTAAATAAAATATTGGTAAACCGATTGCAACAGCACATCAAAAAGCTGATCCATCATGATCAAACAGGCTTCATCCCAGGGATGCAAGCCTGGTTCAACATACGCCAAGTCTATAAACATAGTTCATCACATAAACAGAACCAAAGACAAAAACCACATGAGTATCTCAAAAGATGCAGAGAAGGCCTTTAACAAAATTCAACAGCCTTTATGCTGAAAACGCTCAATAAATTAGGTATTGAAGGAACGTATATCATAATAAAAGCTATTTACGACAAACCCACAGCCAATATCTTACTGAATGGAAAAAAAAACTGGAAGCATTCCCTTTGAAATCTGACACTAGATAAGGATGCCCTCTCTCACCACTCCTATTCAATATAGTACTGGAAGTTCTAGCCAGAGCAATCAGGAAAGAAAAATAAATAAAGGGTGTTCAATTAGGAAAGGAGAAAGTCAAATTCTCTCTATTTGCAGACAACATGACTGTATATTAAGAAGACCCCATAGTCTCAGCCCAAAATCTCCTCAAACTGATAAGCAACTTCAGCAAAGTCTCAGGATACAAAATCAATGTGTAGAAATCACGAGCATTCCTATACACCAATAACAGACTTAAAGAGAGCCAAATCAAGAACGAATTGCCATTCGCAATTGCTACAAAAAGAATAAAAAATACCTAGGAATACAACTAACAAAGGATGTAAAAGATCTCTTCAAGGAGAACTACAAGCCACTGCTGAAGGAAATAAGAGAAGACACACACAGATGAAAAAACATTCCATGCTCATGGTTAGGAAGAATCAGTATTGTGAAAACGGCCATGCTGCCCAAAGTAATTTATGGATTCAACTCTATCCCCATCAAGCTATCTATGACCCTCTTCGCAGAACTGGAAAAAACCACCTTAAACTTCATATGGAACCAAAAGAGAGCCCGTATAGCCAAGACAACTCTAAGCAAAAAGAACAAAGCTAAAGGCATCACGCTACCTGACTTGAAACTATACTACAAGGCTACAGTAATCAAAACAGCATGGTACTGGTACCAAAACAGAGATATACACCAATGGAACAGAAGAGAGGCCTTGGAGGCAACACCACACATGTACAACCATCTGATCTTTGACAAACCTGAGAAAAACAAGCAATGAGGAAAGGATTCCCTGTTTAATAAATGGTGTTGTGAAAACTGACTAGCCCTGTGCAGAAAGCAGAAACTGGACCCCTTCCTGACACCTTACACCAAAATTAACTCCAGATGGATTAAAGACTTAAACAGAAGACATAACATCATAAAAACCCTAGAAGAAAACCTAGGCAAAACCATTCGGGACATCGGTACAGGCAAGAACTTGATGACTAAAACACCAAAAGCACTGGCAACAAAAGCCAAAATAGACAAATGGGACCTAATCAAACTCCACAGCTTCTGCAGGGCAAAAGAAACAGTCATTAGAGTGAAATCGGCAACCAAACAGAATGGGAAAAAATTTTTGCAATCTACCCATCTGACAAAGGGCTAATATCCACAATCTACAAAGAATTAAAACAGATTTACAAGAAAAAAACAAACAAACCCATTCAAAAGTGGGCGAAGGGTATGAACAGACAATTTTCAAAAGAAGATACACATGAGGCCAAGAAACATATGAAAAAATGCACATCATCACTGGCCATTAGAGATGCAAATCAAAACCACATTGACATGCCATCTCACACCAGTTAGAATGCTGATCTTTAAAAAATCTGGAGACAACAGATGCTGGAGAGGATGTGGAGAAATAGGAACACTTTTACACTGTTGGTGGGAGTGTAAATTAGTTCAACCATTGTGGAAGACAGTGTGGTGATGCCTCAAGAACCTAGAAACAGAAGTTCCATTTGACCCAGCAATCCCATTACTGGGTATATATCCAAAGGATTATAAATCATTCTATTATAAAGACACACACACATGTATGTTCACTGCAGCACTGTTTACAATAGCAAAGACCTGGAACCAACCCAAATGCCCATGAATGATAGACTGAAGAGGGAAAATGTAGTACATATACACCATGGAATACTATGCAGCCATAAAAAATGATGAGTTTGTGTCCTTTATAGGGACATGGATGAATCTGGAAACTATCAGTGTCAGCAAACAGACACAAGAACAGAAAATAAAACACCACATGTTCTCACTCATAGGCGGGTGTTGAACAATGAGAACACATGGACACAGGGAGGGGAGCATCACACACTGGGGTCTGTTGTGGGGGATAGGGGAGGGACATAGGTGGGTAGGGAGGTTGTGGAGGGATAACATGGGGAGAAATGCCAGATATAGGTGACAGGGATGGAGGCAGCAAACCACAATGTATGTACCTATGCAACAATCCTGCATGTTCTGCACATGTACCCCAGGACCTAAAGTGCGATAGAATATATATATATATATATATATATATATATATATATATACACACACACACATACATATATATATATAAAATATATATAAAATATTTGTAGTTCAGTATTTTTTGAATTTATATATATAAATATATACAAATTAAACATTTTTTTAAATTTACATATTTTATATATATATAAAAATTAAAAAAAAAAAAAGAAAATACTGAGTTGGTTTTTTAGTTTTCATTTGAACCAGAGTGTCATGTGACGGGACTCTCTACCATCCTCATCTAAATTTCTGGATTCATGCCAGCCATGCTACATTAATTTGGAATTCAAGATTAATGCTCTTTTATCCTAGAGTGTCATGGACCACTAAATAGCAGTTTCAATATCTGACTGTGCCAATAATAATTATTCTAATATTAAAATATAGAAACCCAGCAAAACCCTTCCAATTAAACTTCTACTTACATTTCTAAGAAAAGTGCTTTTTGATCATTATTAACAGAAGAAAATCCACAAGTCAGTGAACAGAACATTTACACCAGGTCAACTTTCTGCATAAAGAGAAAGGACTTTTATCTAGCAATACATCATAAAGAATAAGAACTAAAGGTAGATAATCTTTTCGCAGCTCCCATGATGACGAAGAAAGACTATCTTTCTGAATGTCTCATCACATTCATTATTTTGCCCCTCCTCTTAAAAGGGCCCCCATGCTTGGCACCAGGCTGCTGCAGGGAGGGGACCCCTTCGCCAGTTTTAAACATGGCACAAGAAATACGAGTTTATAAAGTCAAAAACATAGGTAGGTGGCACACCAACTTCTTACTTCAATATGTACAGCCCTATTTTTTTTTTCTTTTTAATCTAAACAAAGCTGGAGTAATACAGCTGTTGCTGACGTCTTTCTCAACCTTGTCTCCTTTACCTCCTGTTCTCTCTGACCAGGACAGGCAGCTCCACCCATATAAACTTCAGAACCACATCCCAGCAGCAGCCCACCCGGACCCGCCATGTGACTCTATGCACACAGCTACTCCTCACTTGGATTCAGGCTGGCCAGGTGGCCACGTCAGGCCAGGGCCTGGGGGCAGAGCCCAGGCACCCCCTGTTTGCACTGCTGTGTCCCTAGGCCAAGCCAGCATGGGGAAGGGTTACTTGTCTCTTCATCAACATAAAGGTAATTCTTGGATTCCGTTCTACAGTTGGCCCCGTTTTGTAAATTTTGTATTACACCTGCTAAAGTTGCTAAAGAAAAACCCTTTAAAATACTGATGAGACTAAAAAGATTCAAACACACCCCCCTTTGACCACTGGCGGTCCATATTAACCGCACACAGGGAACGGCACACTGGGGTGGAACACGCACGCCTGAAAACTCCCGTGTTCTGTCCAGGCCACTGCGTGATGGGACCCGAGCACGTAAGGTTGGATGGACGCACTATACACAGCCTCTTCTGTGCAGGGGGCTGCACACATAGCCGGGATCAGGGTCAAGGAGGGGCGCTCAGCAGGAAGCGGGGTGATAAGCAACCCTCCCTCTCCCTTCCCGTCACGTGCGCCCGCTCCAGCGTGCAGGTGGTCTGAGCACTGGTCTTCCCAGTGAGTGGCCCTGGATGTGGAGGCATCCACTGCTGCTCAGCCGAGGCAGGCTTCGCTTCGCCATCTCTTCCCAGCCCACCGCCGTGCCCCTTTCATCTGCACTCCAGGTCAGGGAGGCAGCCCATGAGCCTCCTCCAGATGTGTGCTCAGCTCACGCAGCCTTCCAGGTGCAGCTTTCAGGACAGCGGTAGGAGCCGGACAGGTCCAGAGCCCCTCCAGTGCCCTCCTACTATGTGCTGAGGTTCTCGGGGGACGGACTGAACACCTCTCAGGTCCCACAATGTCCTACGCAAAGGTGCCAGTGCCGTGACTGTGGGGAGAGTGCCCAGGTTACTTGAATTTTATATTCGAGGGCAATTTCAGACCTTAAAATTCTTAAAACAGAAGTTAAGTAAGTTCTATTATTTTGGAACACTTAGAAAATGTTAACAGTACGTGATCCAGGCTTTTCCAGGCAGGATGAGATTCCTCAGAGACACCCATGCACGTGGAGAGTGTCCTGCACGGCCACACACACCTGATCTCTTTGTTGATAGCGTCCAGCTGCTCCTGAAGCATCATGGCTAGCGTGTGTGCGTCGGCCTGCCCGCTGGGCGACAGCAGGTCAACTGAGCTGAGGAGAGTGTCCCTGTCATCTTCACCATCAGACACGTCAGCATCACTCTCAAATGCTTGTGCTACGTTTGCCAAGACACTAGCTTGCTGGGCACGTTCCCAATCCTGCTCATTAAGAGTCTGTACCTACAAACAAGAAAACCAAATCTCAGCAGCAGACAAAGTAACAACATTAGTTGTAGAAACTTAAATTTAGAAACTTATCAGAAATTTAGAAACTTAAATGAAAGCCCAAAAGATTTTAGAAAGATGGGCCAGGCTTATAAGGTAGTGACATAAAGCAAGCAGTATTTAAAAAAATTTTTTAAGACAGGGTTTCACCATGTTGGTCAGGCTGGTCTTGAACTCCTGACCTCAGGTGATCCACCTGCCTTGGCCTCCAAAGTGCTTGGACTACAGGCGTGAGCCACCACACCCGGGCAAAGCAAGCAGTGTTTAAGAAATTGGGAAGGGCAATGATCCATTCCTTGGACCTTTGTGATATTAACACCCTAACATGGACACATGGCATTCCCATGACAAAATACATAACTGGGAGACAACAGTTACAAACACACACCAAAAACCAACCAGAAAGGGTTGGGAGGGGAAGATGAAGAAAGGCTGATCAATGGCTGCAAGTACACACTTAGAAGACATAAGACCTGGTGTTGGATAGCAGGGTGACTAGAGTTAACACTACTAGATGATACAGGCCAGGTGTGGCAGCACAGGCCTGTAAACCCAGCATTTTTGGGAGGCTGAGGTGGGTGGATCACCTGAGGTCAGGAGTTTGAGACCAACCTGGCCAGCATGGTGAAACCCCATTTCTACTAAAAATACAAAAATTAGCCAGCCGTAGTGGCTCATGCCTGTAATCCCAGCTACTCAGGAGGCTGAGGCAGGAGAATTGCTTGAACGTGGGAGGTGGAAGTTGTAGTTAGCTGAGGTTATGCCACTGCACTCCAGCCTGGGCAACAGAGAGACTCTGCTTCAAAAAAAATAAAATAAAATAGGTATACATTTCAAAATAGCTGCAAGAGAATAATGTGAATGTTCCTAGTGTAAAGAAAAGAGACATAGGTAAGGTAATGGGTATCCCAATTACTCTGATTTAATTATATGAATGGATCAAATTATCACATATATCCCCCAAATATGTATATCTCACATGGATCAATAAAAAATGTTTCTGTGCTCCAATTAGACATGTTACTAGAAAGTTACAAAAAATATTTAAATCTGTATCGACTGGTTTCACTCAGCTGCTGTAAATTTTGTAAGTGTTTCCGAGTACCCGCTAACCAACCTGTGCGTCCACATCCGGCCCTTCCTGAGTCTGGCACTCCCAAGCCCGAAACGAGGAAAGAAGGGCAACAGCCACCGAGAGAATCGAGGGCAAGCTCTGAGAACTGCAGCTCGTACGGCACGGGCAGCTCTGTGCTGAGCGACCACGACTGCCTGAGGCATCACGTGTGTCATCAGAATGCACAGGGACAGCGTGCCGGGACCGACGCAATCCCCCCCGTGCGAGCTTTCCTGCTGCCTCGCGCCTCAAGCCCTCAACACCTCTTCTCCCATTCTCACTCCCAGCTGGGGACCTTCCCATTTCATGGAGACAAAACCAAAGCCTGCACTCGGCCTTCTTCCTCTCTGAGGCCAGCTCCACCTGCTGGGCAGCAGCCTCAAGCCCTGGCTCACACCCGGATCTCAGGCCACTACGGCTCCCTCTCTGGGTAAGCAAGTTCCACTGGCTCGTTCCATTAGCACAAGGACATTTTCTCCCCCGTCTCACCTTAAAACACCAGGGCAGAAACCAAGGCCTTTCCCTCCACCCCACCCGGGCCTCTTTTCACCTACCCCTCCGCCGCTCTGCTCCCAACTAGAGTAAAAGATCCCAGTGAGCCGCCTCCATTGTCTGCCTCTCCCCACTTCTCCAGATCCTGCTGCAGGCCAGCTTTGAGCGCTTACTTCCCCGCCAGCAGGGATATTCCATGGCAGTTCCAGTGCACTCCCCGTTACTAAGGCCACCAGCTGTCCCTTGGTACTGTTTCCCATCTGACCTGCCCATCAGTAAGTCGGGCTCCGCTGCTCTCCTCTTCCCTGAGTACTCTGCCCGCTTGGTCCCAGGACCCCACCCCTCGCTGGTCATGCCTCGTCTTTCCCTCCCAGACTCCCCAACGATGGCCCCAGAGCTCCACTCTTGTGCCTCGTCTCCATCCACAGGCATCCATGGGGTGACGTCATCTTGTCTCACGTTTCTCAATACCATCCATACACTCAAGACACTTCAATTTTCATCTCTAGTTCTAGGTTTCTTTCTTGGGTTCCAGACTGGAATATTCAACAGCCAACCTGCCACCACCCCAGACAGCTGATACTCCTCTCCACCTGAACACGGCCCTGGCTCAATTCCTAGTCTCCTCCAAGCCAAGTCTTCCTCATCTCAGGAAACAGACTCCATCCTTCCAGCAGTTCAAGCCCAAACCGTTGGAGTCACCTCTGACTCGTCTCTTTCCTTCTTCCCCTGCATCCCATCCCTCAGTAGGTCTTGTTGGTGCTCCACAACAATACACTGAATGCTCTCCACGAGCTCCTTCTCCTTCCTCCTTCATGTCCCTGCTCAGACGTCACCCTCCCCATACTGACTCCTTGGCCTCCCTATTAAAATTCGAATTCCCCTCCTTACTCTACACCCGAGTCCCACTTCTGTGCTTATTACTATCTGACGTAACAGGGTGGTTTAAAAATACATCCACAAACACACTCATCCCTTTAAGAGATGGAGGATGATTCTCGCCCCAAATCCTTAATGTGGGCAAGACTTAACACCTCACTCAAATCAACAGAATAGAGAGGAAGTGAAGGCTGTGGATTCCGAGACCAGGACTGGAAAGGCTGTGGGACTTTCTTCTCGCCCTCTCCTAGAGTATGGGCTGCCTGTATCACAATGCAAGGACCCTAGAGCAGCCCTGTGGCCAGGTCCAAGTGGGTGATGGCCCCAAGGCCTCCTGCCCCAGTTGGATCTTTCTGTGGCTGCAGCCTTGCCAGACAGAACCAGGACTGTCCTGCTCTGCTGTTCCTGGACTCACAGGAGTAAGAACTATGAAATGTTCACTGTTTTAAGCTACTGAGCGCCACAGTGATTTGTGACATACAAATAGTCAACAAACACACACTACTAGACTTTATCTGTGGACTGCTTGTGTCCTCTGGGATGCAGGTGTTCTTCCTGTTTTACTACACACTGCTGCAGCCCTAAGTCTATACAGCTCTGTAATGGGGTTTGGACCAAACTAGCAACTCAATGAATATGAGGGCTAAAATTATACTTAGGCGTTTCAAAACGCACGCAGGTGAACAAAGTAAGAAGGTATTTAAATGTTCAAAGTTGAATTCTTTTCATTAAATGATGAATTTATGTATTCATTTACTTCTTTTATTTTTTAGAAACAGGGTCTTATTCTGTTGCCCAAGCTAGAGTGCAGTGGTGCAATCATAGCTCACCATAGCCTTGACTTCCCGGGCTCAAAGGATCCTTCAACCCCAGCCCCCAGAGTAGCTGGGACTACAGATGCATGCCACCATGCCCAGCTTTTTTTTTTTTTTTTTTTTTTTTTTTGAGACAGAGTCTTGCACCTTCGCTCAGGTTGCTGGGCTGGAGTGCAATGGCACAATCTTGGCTCACTGCAACCTCTGCCTCCCATGTTCATGCAATTCTCCTGCCTCAGCCTCCCAAATAGCTGGGATTACAGGCGCAGCACATCACCACTCCTGGCTAATGTTTTGTATTTTTAGTAGAGACGGGGTTCACTACGTTGGCCAGACTGGTCTTGAACTCCTGGGATTACAGGCGTGAGCCACCTGCCCAGCTGCTAATTTCTGTATTGTAGAGACAGGGTTCTACCATGTTGCCCAGGCTGGTCTCAATCTCCTGGGCTCAAAGGATCCTTCTGTCTCAGCCTCCTGAGTAGTTGGGACTATAGGTACACAGTACCACACCCAGCTAATTTTTTTTTTCCTTTTTTTAAAACAGAGACAGCGATTTCTCTATGTTGCCCAAGCTGGGCTCAAGCTCCTGGCTTCAGGTGATCCTCCCAAAGCACTAGGATTACAGGTGTAAGGCAATGCACCCAGCTACTTATTTTATTTTATTTTTTGAGACAGGGCTTCACTTTTGTTGCCCAGGCTGAAGGGCAACGGCGCTTTCTAGGCTCACTTTCTAGGCCTTCAGAGTTCAAGCAATCCTCCTGCCTCAGCCTCCTCAATAGCTGGGATTATAGGCACCTGCCACCATGTCTGGCTAATTTTTTGTATTTTTAGTAGAGACGGGGTTTCGGCATGTTGAACACACTGGTCTCAAACTCCTGACCTCAGATGATCCACCCACCTCTGCCTCCCAAAGTGCTGGGATTACAGCTGTGAGCCACCGGTGCCCGGCCTACTCATTTATTTTTAATCATAATTCTAAATCCATACTTATTATCATTGTATTTAAAAGTGACTGTATTTTTATAAGAATTTCTATTAAAAGAGAAAAAAAAACTCAGAGGCCAGGCATGGTGGCTCACACCAATAATCCCAGCACTTTGGGAGGCCAAAGCAAGAGGATTGCTTGAGGCCAGGAGTTCAGGACCAGCTTAGGCAACAGAGACCCTATCTCTTAAAATATATTTAAAAACAAAAAAACAAAAAAAAAAACAAAAAAAAAACCCTTTTTTAAAAAAATGCTCTAAAAGCTAAACTCTTAGCCAGAAAATAGACAGTAAGGGGAGGGCAAGAAAGCAACGACCTATCAACATTTTTATTCCAAAGCACAGGGTAAGTAGGGAACATTCACATAAGCAGAGAGATCTCACACAAAGACCTTGCCTTGGAAGGCTCATCTCGAAGGGCAGCCAGACGGCCTTTCTGGGGGCGCCGCAGCACCGAGCTGCTGCTGTAGGAGTCTGTGTGGCCGTCTGCCATGGGGAACCTGAAATCTGGGACACTGCCCAAGTGGGGTCGGCTGAAACATAAAAAACAAGAACGCTCATGATTAGAAGACAAAGAAGTAAACTCTGACTCTCAGTCAAGGCGGAAGCTAATCCTTTGGAGAAGGTCTCCAGGGAGGGCACGGCTCTTGCCTGCCCCAAGAGCTGCATGTTGCCCACTCCAGGCCAGCAGTTTACTCTCTCAGCCCTCTCAGGTGGAAAGCTCTCCAGGAAAAGCTGTGCAGACGGCCATGGAGATGAGCCGCAAGGAGCCCAGCTGTCGAGGACGGGAGAGACCCTGATCCCCTGAGACCTCTCCTTGGGTCAGGTACCAGGCTCTGCTCCACGTTCCCAGGGCTGACGAAAAACACAGCCACGCTTCACTGCTGGCCTTCAACTGCTCTGCAACTGTCCACCCATGCCGGCATCTGTGTGCGAGATCTGGGGATCTGTCACCCTGCTCTTACATCGCCAGTGTCACATTCTGCCAGGCACCTAAATTACCATATCCAAATATTAGCTCATCACTCCCCACCTTCCAAAACTCCGCCTGTATTTTTGAGTCTTGTCAATGATGTGTCTCCTCAGTACCAAGCTCTAAGCTGTGAGTCATTGGACTCTTCTCTCTTGCTGCCTTCTAAGCTACAGGCTCCTTGAGGTCACGCCACCAGCCACATCCAGTTAGGCTGCCCACACAGCTAGAATAGGGGACACCAGGGGCCGACAACACGGCTGCTCACTGGTTAATGCCATACCCATGATGAAGTGAAGCACCTCTTAGTCTCATCTGGTCTAGTTCAGCCCTCAACGCTTCAATGTTTAGGACAAGCTGATCCTACAAAAAAGCAAAAAACTTACATTACTGCTCTCTCTTTCAGATTTTAAAACTACCTGCTTCAAATGTACTCAGATGTTGAGCATAACCATAAGAGGATAAATCAGCAGTCACAAATACCAAACATTTTAATTCTGAGAAAATTTTCTCCCAGAGTGCCGAAGTAAACATAAACACTCAGACTACCATATTAACTTTGTAAGCCCCAATGAATGAAAAGCTGTGTCTTAGTCATAGAAAAGCTTTTAAGAGGATAAACACCAAACCATTAACAATTATTAGTTTTGCAGAGAAGCAGACTCTTCTAGGGGCAAAGGGGAACAATATTCACTTTCTCCTGTGTGTCTCTGTATTGTGGCTGTCTCACAGCAAGTATCAAGTATGCATTCATCCCTGCGTCACGGGTACACTTGATCTCATTTCTAGAGCTGTGCTGGTCAATACTGGCCACATGTGGCTACTGAGCCCTTGTAATGGGTTAGTCCAAATGGGCATGTGCCATGACTATGAAATACACAGCAGAAAAAGAATGTAAAGTAGCTCATTTATGTTTGTATTCACACATTATGAAACAATAAATTAAATAGATTACACCTTTTTTTTTTTTTTTTACTTTTTAAAATATGACTATTAGAAATGTAAACATTACATATGCAGCTCATATTATATTTCTGGTGGACGGCACTGTCATTGATGCTAATATTTTAGCTTCAAATAAACCCAGCAGGGACTCCGAATTTCTGAACCATATGCACAGCCAGACTCAAAATACACCTGAAATACAAAGGCAATCAATATACAAGCCTAGAAACTTACGGCAGTGGACTCTGAGAGCCACAAACCAAGTTTATATCCACTCTGCCAGATACCTGTAGTAACTATCATCATCATCAACTCAGTTCACTCAGCTCCTAATGGATTTAGAGAAGATTTCAGTACCTTATCATGCTGTGTTTCTTCTAATTGCTTTTTTGCATTCTCAACTTCTCTTAGTAGAGAATTCTGAAAAAGACAGATAGTCCTTTAGTGTTTCTTAAAGATCCCATTTAAATATATAGCATAGCTGTATTTGTTAAAAAATAAAAATAAAGTACCACAGAAAGGGAATGGAGCAGAAGAGCACACCAGCAAGCACTGCTATAGTCCCAGAGTTAGACCGTGAGGCTGCGACACCTTCTCATGTGTCTTACTAATGTAACATCTACTCCTCACTGACTCAACTTTCTAAATGTAGGTATGTCACGTTCATGGTGCAAGTTCATTTTAACCAGTTAAACTGGCTTATACTAACTTTTAGGCTTTACAATTCGTTGGTCACTTGGGAAACCTGAATTTAAGTTTCAAATGTATAACTAAAATCAAAGATAAAAAACACTGCTCGGTTAAGGCTGACCCACTGATCAAGGAGGTGAGTGGGATACTGACACTATGTGATCTCTGGAAATGTCCTCCATGGTCAACACTGTGTAAATAAACATGTCATGCAATGAGCAGGAATCATTAGTCTTAATCCTAACAGCCAATCTCAGGGCAGTTTCTAGGCCTCATCTCTAGGGACACTGCAGTCAGGACAGGCTTTATCAAATTGGAATCCAGCTGCTGCTCATTAGAGCTTCTCTGACACAGATTCTAGGATATCCCTTGGCTCTGTTTCCATGATGAGAGTACTCAGAGTATAGGCTTAAATTTTTTCCAAATCAAATGAAAAACAATGAAGGTAGAGGTTGGAATATTTATTTGGTTTCAGTTGATTGAACCCCTTTCCAGTACAAGATACTCCCTAAGTGTCCTGTTTATAAACGAGACAGAAATTTTTCTTTTTCTAAGACAGGGTCTTGCTTTGTCACAATACTGAAGCACAGTGGCACGATCTCGGCTCACTGCAACTTCCACCTCCAAGGGATTTTCACGCCTTAGCCTCTTGAGTAGCTGGGACTACAGGCAGGTACCCTCAGGCCTCGTTAATTTTTGTACTTTAATAGTAGAGACAGGATTTGGTCATACTGGCCAGGCTGATCTTGAACTCCTGGCCTGAACTGATCTGCTTGCCTTGGCCTCACAAATAGGCGTGGGCCACCTCGCCCAGCCAGAACTTAACTTCTAATGCATGAACAATAAAGGAGTGAGGGTGGGGCCCAAAAAATGATTCTAGTGCAGGGGCTGGCAAACTAGGACCTGACAGCCAAATCCAGCCCACTGCTTGTTTCTGCAAATGCATTTTATTGGAACATAACCATGCCCATTCATTTACATGTTACTTATGGCTGCTTTTGTGCTAATTACTTGATTGACATACAATTATTTCATTACTCACAATTACTAAAAGCCTAAAATATTTATTATCTGGACCTTTAAAAAATGACTTACCTACTCCCATTCTAGAGAATAAGAATGATAAACAACTTCCCATACATGCAAATGGGGCATGGCCATGGCAAACAATCAGTGACTGGATAGCTGTGTGTGCCTTTTCCACTTTAAAGAATAATTCCCATTTTCAGGAATTCCTACACACGCCTGCTCAGGGGCAGATGAGCAATCTTTGGTGGAGGGTGGGAAAGCTCCAGGGATGTCCATGTTATCTATCCTACCTTATCTTCCAAAGCAGCCATTCTCTCTTTAAGATGAAGTTGAAGCCTCTCATTAGATTCTGAAAGCAGCTTGTCAACAGTGTCTGATAAACGTTTATTATGTTCTTCGTTCATTTTTTCTCTTTGCCTTGCCTAAAGGAAGAGAAACAAAGACTTAACAAACCTCACGTAAATGCACGATGACTGTTTTAAAAGCACAAGGACCAACCGGGTGAACCCCACACATGCCCACCCCTCCCCCATTTGCCATCTTGAGTAGACTTTTGCATGGTGACCAGAACCGACTCACGGACATGGGGAACACAGGACAAGTCTTGGAGAGATCATGAACTGGAAGGTCCCACTGCTCCTGCTACAGGACTCCTCAGGAATGTCACTAGCTGTTAACTATCAGAGTGACTTAGGGATCAGATTTATAGCAGATATTTAAGGGGATCAGCCTGTCTCCAAGCTGGTAGAGGAATTTCCCTTTGTATAAGTAAAAGCTTGGTGAATTTAATTTACAAAGCAAAACAGTTTAAAAATTTGTTTGAAAAAAGAAATTAGTAGAGCTAGAGAGACTTTCATATTTTTTCTTTATACCTCTACACTGCTTAAATTTCTCATAATGGAAATTTATATTCAAAAATTTTAAATAATTACCTTAAGTAATTTTAATATGTAATAATAAAACTGACATGTCTGTATTTTATAAAACCATAATCAAGTTCACAATTTAAAACCTCTGTTTCTCACTCCTGAATGAACCCAAATGACAGGCAGAGGGGAAGGGAAGTGTCGTAGGCGGCACCCGTCCAGGTGGCACCTCCATGCCCTCATCACCCAAGTGCACTTGTAGCACTCGGGGGGTCCTCCCAGGCAGGGGTGGTGGCACAGGGTTACGACGTGCACTCGAGTCATGCTGCCCAGGCAGGAGGAAAAAGCCACGAGACCACACCACAGGAGTCAGCAGCGCATTCAATCCCCGTGCGCCAGTCTCTGCACTGGGAAGACGTGGGTAGTGACCTCTCCTTTTCTCATAAAGTCTAACATGTAGCAACTCTCATGACCTGAAAGGGCCCAGCACATCATGTGGCATACAGAGTGTCTCATACTTTTCTAAGGAAAGATGCAGTATCCTTCCTTGTGCTTATTTTCTGTCAGCATTTAAGTAATTTTTAAAGAACACAGCTTAACGTTCAGTGCTGTGTCTGCCTGCATGAGTGTGCGCTGTGGAAGCGGAGGTGGGGACTCCCTAACGCGCACCCTCTCACTGGGAGTCAGAATCATCATGCCCCGGAAGCTCATCAAACTCTGCAGGGCATGGCCAAGAATACAGATTTCTGGTGCGAACAAAATCCAGTAGCCTTAAATTACTGTTCTAAAGTGGGCTGATGTGGGGGTGCATGCGTTCTGCAATTTGATGCTGCATGCTTCCTTTCTCCACCTACTTGTTAAAGAGAAATCCACCCCAAACCCCAGGCCTGGTGCCAGCCGGCCCTGGGACTGCTCTTGCTATAACTTTTCCCTGGATGTTCCATATTGACATCTGCCCAACTCATCCAGGAAAACGATCTTAGATTCAACGGACAGGTGCCTCTACTGCCACACTCTTTCCTAATGCTTTTTACTGTAGCTCAATTATAGTGTTGCTCTTGCTCAGAAATATTCATTCCAACACACCACTATGTTTGGAGTATTTAACTTGGGACAGAAGTCAGGCCTCCGATCTGCATTTCGGACTTCAGTGCCATATTCTAAGCAAGTAGACTAGTCAACCAGGACAATGGGCCTGCCCCTACATTTTGGAGGGGTCCCCGTGATGGTGCCACAGGTACTGACAGCAGTTCCCCTGATAGGCTGCTAGACTTAACAAGCGAGAAGCGCTTCGGACATGAGGATCTCATCTACCCCCTCAAGTACTATGAGCTCAAATGTCTTCCACAGCTTCCAAACTGACCGGAAACTGCCACCGTGTGGGATGTACGCAGGAGCGGACAACTCACAGATGAGGGCGCAAAGCAAATGCACGCAACCAGAACTGAGCTGGAGAACCAGCATCTCAGTCAGGGTGGGAGGCCCCGAGCTCCCCCCAGCCTGAGCAACGCCCTTGCAGCCGCCAGCTCGGCGCGCCCGCCCTCCAGGCTCACTGCTCACCCGCTGCAGTTCTTGATTCTTCTCCTCCAGCTGTGCTTCCATCTGTCGTAGCCTTTCTTCAATGTTGCCATGTCTCTCTTCAGCCTGTCAGCAGAAACAGCATCAGCTGACCTTATCCTTACACTTCATCGGCGACATGCTGCATACCACTGCAGTGGCAACAGGCGGAACGTGCTCTGCGTGGACTGCTCCGCCATACTAAATGGAAAGCACGTACTCGCATCCATCAACACAGCCTACGGGCTTCGCGTGCTGGGCCGTGAGGACGGCTCCGCCATACTAAATGGGTCGCATCCATCAGCAAAGCCTATGGGGCTTCGCGTGCCGGGCCGTGACGTGGCTAGCCCTCTTGTGTCGGTGATTCTGAAGCATGGCTGCTGCTGGCAGCTGACCGGGTGCTTCCCCACAACCCCTATGCCCAATCTGTATGGATTCGTGATTCTCCCCATCCTTTGACTGCTTCTGGTTAGTCAGCATGGAAAGCAGCAAGCAGTGGCAAGCACAGGCAAGGAGCAGTGCACCCATTCTACCTTCCTAAGCTTGGAAGTAAGTTCCGACAGTTTAGCTTCCTTAGCAGCAGAGCTCCCAGAAGACAAAAGGTCAGACTACAAAGCCGACAAGGGACAGGAAAGACAACAGGGGAGAAAAGAAATGGAGACTTTAAAAGCAGATCATGAAGTGGGAGGAAAGGTTCTCCGACAGCTGTGAGCAATGAACTTGCTGGAAGGAACAGGTCTGTGAGCCCTAAAACCATCTGAATGGTCCCGGATGCCCTCCCCAGCAGCTTGAAAAGCTTGAGCCAGGAGAGTCAGGATGACTGCCCCGGAGGGGCCTTGGCTCCTGCTGCTCACCTGCCTGGAGAGGCAGTGCTAGGCTCCCCACGCCCGGGAAAGCTCGGGGTTTGCCCAGGGCTGAGCTGAGCTCCCTGGTCCTCGCCGATCTCAGGACCTATGACAGCATCTGCCTCTTTAGCTCTTCCCCCCATGAATGGTGAGGACTGGGAGGGACTGTGCCTTGCATATGCCTAGTCAACAGTTGTTGAACAAATGAATAAATACTATTTTTAAACACATATTTTTAAGTAATTTCAAAATAATGGAATTACTTAAAAGTGTATTTACTAAAATTTATCTCGATGGTGTTTTTAAAAAAGTGCCATCTTCCTATTTCTGAGGAAAAAACTACCCTTCTTTTCCAGAGGCTTCCATCCTATACTTCGGCTGGCAACTTAATTCTAAGAAGCAGAAACTCTTAGATCACACATGCTGTGGACACACAGCACACATCAGGACAAACAAAACCAAGGGAGACTTCGGGATAAAAGGATCACGTCTGGCATTTACAAAGCGTTCCCATCTCAGATGAAAGAGCACCCAAACCAAATCCGTGCTCTTCCCTGGATTTAGTGCACTGGCGTATTAAGAACAGTGACAAACAAGGTACACAGACAAGGCACAGTCACAGGCCTGGCGGCCGAACCAGAACTAAGCTCATAGTACCACCTTGGAAAGCGCTGCCACCCTCTGGGCCAGCTCCGCCTCCACCTCGGGAAGCGTCTCCGCCTTCCTCAGTGTCTGTTGCAGCTTTTGCTCTGCCAATTCCAAGCGCTCCTGTAACTGGCGGTTTTTATCTTCGGTCTATAAAATGAGCAAAGCATCAAAATGCAGCTAATCATCTCACTGTATCAGTTTTTAAGAGACTGAAACAAACTGAAATACAGGTATCGTAAGACAGTCACGAGAGAAGAGCTACACTGCTGGTATTTGCTTCTGGGTCAGGGTTTTTTTTTTTTTTTAAGACAGAGTCTCCCTCTGTCACCCAGGCTGGAGTGAAGTGGCACAATCTCAACTCACTGCAACCTCTGCCTTGTGAGTTCAAGCAATTCTCCTGAGTAGCTGTGATTACAGGTGCGTGCCACCACGCCTGGCTAATTTTTACAGTTTTACTAGAGACAGGGCTTCAGCATGTTGGCCCGGCTGGTCTTGAACTCCTAACCTCAAGTGATCCACCCGCCTCCGCCTCCCAAAGTGCTGGAATTACAGGTGTGTGCCACTGTGCCCAGCCTGGGTCAGGTTTTACTTGCTGTCTGGAGTACATGCCCACTCTCCTGGGCTTGATTTCAATATGCAAAACACCTCTTGCCAAAGTATTTGCTTTTCCTAAATAACTTCTAAGAAGCTTTTTTTTTTTGGTCACACAGGCTGGAGTGTAGTGGTACTCTTACATGAGTTAAGTATGGTTTACTAAACCATAGGAGACACATTTCTTACTAGAGACTTCATTGCTTTTGTTATTTTAGAGATGGAGTCTTGTTCTATGGTATGGGCTAGAGGGCAATGGTGCGATCACAGCACACTGAAGCCTTGAACTCCAGGGCTCAAGCCATCCTCCCTCCTTAGCGTCCTGGGTAGCTAGGGCATAGGCACATGCCACCATGCCCAGCTAACTGTTTTTTAAATTTTCTGTAGAGACAGCATCTTGCTGTGCTGCCCAGGCTGTTCTCACATTCCTGGGCTCAAGCGATCTTCCCCACTCAGCCTCCCAAAGTGCTAAGATGACAGGCATGAGCCACTGCACCTGACCAAGACTTCATTTCTTGTACTATTCATTTAGCATGCTGTTCCCACTTAGTAACAAATAGCCAATTACCTTGAAGTTCTTTGCCGCTCTCTGCTCCCTTGGTAAAAATGCTAACAAGCAGTAACTTTTAATTAAAACAAAGGAAAAAGTTGAGGACAGCAGCAGCACAAAATGGTTAAATCAAATCCTATGTAATCAAAACCTGTAAACTGAACTCCCACGTCTTGAACATGATGTTCTAAGGTCATAAAAACGTTTTATTTGAACTTGATTTCCAACATTTTCAAAAGTGAGAGTAAAAGGGTCTTTAACTTCATTAATAATTAATTGAAGCCAGACAAAGGTTGATAAAATCCATTACCTGTCGATGCATAGAATCTTTATTTGCAATTTCATTTTCAAGTTTATCATTGAGGTCATGCACAGACGTGGCTTCACGCTGTGCAGCGAGGTAGCGTTTTTCAAGAGTAGTGATTCTCTCTTCCATGTCTTCCTTTTGGGCCATGGCCTAAATCAAGTATTTCAGAGGGGACAAAAAGGTAGGTAATTAACAGATTACACATTGAGATACTTAAGGGAGGAAAAAAACTGAACTAAATCCTAAATTTCCAATTAAATTAAAAATTAGTGTCCTCAGGCCAGATATAGCAGCTCACTCCTGTAATCACAGCACTTTGGGAGGCTAAGGCAAGAGGATATATTGAGGCCAGGATTTCAAGACCTTGTCTCTACAAAAATATTTTATTTTTGAGACAGGGTCTCACACTATCACCTAGGCTGGAATGCAGTGGCACAACCAAGCCTCACTGCAGCCTTGACTTCCCAGGCTCAAGCAATCTTTCCACCTCAATCTTCCCAGTAGTTGCGACTACACACACACCCCACTATACCCAGCTAATTTTTAATTTTTTTGTGGAGATAGGGGTCTTAGTATGTTGCCCAGGCTGGTCTTGAATTTCTGGGCTCAAGAGATCCTCCTTGACCTCCTTTTGGGCTCCCAAAGTGCTAGATTACAGGCATGAGACAGTGAGCCCGGCCAAAAAACTTTTAAAGAAACAAACATGGCCGGGCGCGGTGGCTCACGCCTGTAATCCCAGCACTTTGGGAGGCCGAGGCAGGGTGGATCAGAAGATCGAGAGATCGAGACCATCCTGGTCAACATGGTGAAACTCCGTCTCTACTAAAAATACAAAAATTAGCTGGGCATGGTGGCGCACGCCTGTAATCCCAGCTTCTCAGGAGGTGGAGGCAGGAGAATTGCCTGAACCCAGGAGACGGAGGTTGCGGTGAGCCGAGATCGCCATTGCACTCCAGCCTGGGTAAGGAGCGAAACTCCGTCTCAAAAAAAAAAAAAAAAAAAAAAAAAAAAGAAACAAACATTAGCCAGGTGTGGTGGCAGCGCCTGTAGTCCCAGGTACTTGGGAGGGTGAGGCAAGAAAACTGCTTGAGTCCAGGAGTTCAAGGCTGCAGTGAGCTATGATGGTGCCAGTGTAGTCCAGCCTGGGTAACAGAGACAGAGAGATCCTGTCTCAAATAATAATAATAATAATAATAATAATAATAATGTTCTCAAAATTAAATTGATGGAAGATGTCAGTTTTCTCAAATGTGAATGAAAATGTAACTACCTCAAATACCATAAATATTCACCTATATGCGATTAATAAAGACCTGTCTCTCTTAATACTATGGCCACTCAGTTTGCCAGCTTTCCCATTTCTACATAATACTATAAGAATACAGACACTAAAATATCTAAACATTGCAAGAATTCAAGGAGGTGAAAGTGTTCTCAAAGAAGATACAGTCTATGTCTCCCTCAAGCTGCAAACGGTCGTATACAGGACAGAGTGTGGCCTCTCTCGATGGACACAGTAGTGCGATACAAGTCTCATTTTCTAGGATAAAGGTTGGATGAAATCTCATACAATTACAAGAGTCAGGCATACTGACAAATGGAAAGAGAAGTACAAGCTTCATTTACTTGGATGAAATTTCCTGAAGTCTGCGAGATGAACAGTATGCAGTACCAAACACTTACGGCTAGGGGCGGAACTTTTGCCTGTGAAACCCCTGTCCTCGACCCCCAGAATTCACTGTTTTCAGGTTGTTCCGGATGTATAAAATGACTAAAGTTCGAAAGTCTTAATATTAAAAGTGATAGAGGAAAAAAGCTCAACCTCACTGATTAGAGAAATGCAAATCAAAACCACAATGAGACACCATTTCACACCAGTCAGAATGGCTATTACAAAAAAGTCAACAAATAACAGACGCTGGCGAGGTTGTGGAGAAAAAGGAATGGTCTTCTACTGTTGGTGGGAGTGTAAATTAGTTCAACGATTGTGGAAGATAGTGTGGAGATTCCTTAAAGATCTAAAGATGGAAATATCAACCCAGAAATCTCATTACTGGGTATATACCCAAAGGAACATAAATTGTTCCATTATAAAGACATATGCACAAGTTCACTGCAGCACTATTCACAACAGCAAAGACATGGAATCAACATAAATGTCCACCAATGATAGACTGGATCAAGAAAATGTGGTACATACACCATCGAATAGTATGCAGCCATAATAAAGAATGAGATCATGTCCTTTGCAGGGACATGGATGGAGCTGAAAGGTCGTTATTCTTAGCAAACACAGGAACAGAAAAACAAAAATACCTCTTGTTCTCACTTGTAAGTGGGAGCTAAATGATGAGAACACATGGACACATAGGAGAACAATACACATGGGGGCCTGCTGAAGGGTGGAGCGTGGAGGGCAGGAAGAGAGGATCAGGAGAAACTAACCAACGCGTCTCAGGCTTGGTACCTGGGTGACAAAATAATCTGTACAACGAATCCCCATGATAGAAGCTTACCTATGTAACAGACCTACACATGTACCCAAACTTAAAATAAAAAACAAAAAAGTGATAGGCTTTAAAAGAATTTCAAAATTCTCTGCATATTAATCTCTGCCACATTATCTCCTGCTGTAGCCGAAGAATATAACCTAGCAGGTGACACACTGCATGCAAATATTCTTCCTGTGGTGAATTCCTATAGGAAACTACTAGTGTCAAGCTACCAAACTGAAAAGCACACGTTCAACGTTTGAGGCACCTGACAAGGGACAAAGCACAGGTTAGAAAGTGACAGGAAGGGCACCTGAGAAAGAACTCGGCCTCACTGTTTTATGATCAAATAGTTCCTCATAGTTACAAAGGCATAAGTATCTATCAGAAATGAGTATACCGTGACATATTTTTAATATACAATCCTGACAACCCATGTAGAAGCAAATTCCACTCTCTATTGTTTATCTGACCATCAATCTTCAATGCCACGAATTCCTTGAGGGAGCAGGTCAGAAAATAAGAAGACCACCAGCAACGCCCCTTCCACAGTTAACAGACTACTCACACCACCCTACGTGACCTGGTGGCACGGCCACGATCAACATCTGCTTACTAAGAATGTGTGCAACAGAAGGAAATCTGAACATAAGAACAAACTGAGACAGCCTAGAAACTGCACAGATGAAGAATCTACAAACAAGGACTTTAAAAGACCTCAAAGCAGCACAGGTAGGAAGGGCCAGCGTGGCGTCCGCTCCATGGCCACGGAAGTCAGTGGGACTAGTTCTCCTCTACTTTGATAACCTCAGGGACAGGAGATTTCACAACAAAAATGGGGAGGCAGCTTATCACAGTTTCACAGCACTCTTTCTTTTTCAGTATTACTTATACAATGATCCAAAGGCTGACTGCAAGTTGGGAGAGTAAGGGAAAAAAGGAGGAAAAAAATCATTTAACTAAAACATCCCCAAATCCAACCTCATGACAAGACTGCAATTCTTGTTCTCACTCACTTCACGGACATCCCGCTGCAGTTTTGTGTTCATTTCTTCCGATTTGATGAGATCTTTTCTGGCGGTGTCCAGATCCTCTTCCAGCTCTGTCACGTGACTGGAGAGGGCCGCCAGGCGGTCCTTCATTTGGCTCTGTTCCCTTGACTGCTTACTTATGATTTCTTGGAGCTCAATTACTTTAGCAAGGTCTTCCTCGTGGCTTAAAGAACCATCAGAAGATCTCTGATAGGGGGAAAAAAATCCTTAAATACCCTTGTTTGGTGAACTATAAAATAAAAATGCTTCTGGAAAACAGCTAAAATCAAAATTGGCTTATGCAATCTTTCGGATTACACCACTTTCATGACCACTTCAGCTCTAAGCCGGTGCTTTAGCAGCCGTTTTCCACGTAACCCGACACACACTGCGGACAAACGACATCCAACAGAAGACAGGGAAAGCCTGCGGACTTGCCTTTCCGTTCGTGCTCGGTGTATTTTCTTGTTCATGGTTTACATCCAGCACTCCGTCTGTTAGTGTTTTTTTCTGATTATTCTGTTCTTTAAGAATCATTAGCTAAAACCAAAAAAATTGAACGAGTATAAAATACCTCACATAAGAGAAGTAAGACAGTAAAACTCCTTTTAGAAAAACACAACTATAAACTGCTTAACACAGTATAAAAAAGAAAGCATATGGCAATGCTATCCAATCCGATCTTTAAAGATGGAATTTGTTATCCACTGGCCAAATGAGTCCTTAGGTAACCATAGTTTTCTAGTCCTTAAAATGACCCAGATAAATAATATCTGATATTCACAACTACAGTTCTTTTTTTTTTGAGACGGAGTCTCGCTCTGTCGCCCAGGCTGGAGTGCACTGGTGAAATCTCAGCTCACTGCGTGCCTCCAGGGCTCAAGCAATTCTCATGTCTCAGCCTCCTGAGTACCTGGGACTATAGGCACGTACCGCCATTCCTGGCTAATTTTTGTATTTTTAGTAGAGACAGGGTTTTACCATGTTGGCCAGGCTGATCTCGAATTCTCCACCTCAGGTGATCTGCCCGCCTCAGTCTCCCAAAGTGCTGGGATTAAAGGAGTGAACGAACTACCATGCCCAGCCCTCATGCTACTTTTAATAATTAAAAGAAAAAAATTAAAACCTCAAATCATGATGATGTATCAAGCTTACCTCTTTGTGTGTTGCACCTAATTCTTCTTCTAACAAACTACATCTTTCAAGTGCTACTCGTAATCGCTCTCTCACCTGAAAATAAAAGGGGTTGAGTGTGTGTGTGTATACACTGTTTTATTTTTATTTTACAGTTAAGTGTACTATATATATTAGTGTAATATAACATAATAAAATACCATTAACGTCTGTCACTGATCTACTTTCAAAAAACTTGTTAATGGTTCTAAATTAAGTCTGAGAAAAATCTTCCCCCTAAATAATATTAGGTTCTTGCAAAAGTAATTGTGGGTTTTGTCATTAAAAGTAATAGCAAAACCCACAATTAAAAGTAATAGCAAAGCGCACAATTATTTTTGCAACAATCTAGTATTACCCAATTTGTAACAGCAAATCGATATACATTAATTTTTTTACATTAGCAATTTTAAGACTTATATGCCAATTAGTACTTTTTAAACCTATAAAACCCTGTCTTCTTAAACAGAAAATTTATTTCCAAGAATTCAAGAACCTTCAAAAGTAAGTTACACCAACACTTGCGGAGCTGGCCTAATCCACAGCATGTGCACAAACCAAGGCTCATGCGGCTGAGGCACCTTTTCGTCCAGAGCTTTGTGGTGTTCAAATAGCGACTTCAGGGCCTTCAGCACCTCCACTTCGCTGGACACGCCTGCTGGAGACTGCGCTTGTCTCTTCACCACGGTCATCCTAAGAGACCGCTCGTGCCTGGAAACAAGGCATTCCAAATGCTCCAACAGCAGCTGAAATAAAAGGCCAAAATTAAAGAGCACTTTTCATTTCAAATTGAATCTGGGGCAAATAACACCTTTACAGTCTCATGCTAAAATGAGGTCCCTTCAATTCAGTAGAAAGACACATTCCCCTTTAATACATAATGATATGTATTAAAATATCATAAATTCTCATCACAAATTTCAAGCCATTAATGTATGATAATGCTGGCTAATCACAGTGCGCTCAGTGGGAAAAGGTAAGAAACGTGTTTGAAGCCGGACAGAGTGGGTCGTCCTTTCGTTTTGAGACAGCACCCTCGTCCTGACAGACAGTGGCTCCAGGGGCGGGCGGTGAACAGCAAGGTCAAACTCACTCTGGTGTTGTTCCTTTCTGCTTTCAGTTCAGCAATTTCTTCTTCCCTTTCAAGGAGCTGTTCCCTGCATACATTGAGTTCTTTAGTAAGTGCCGCAAACTCCTAGAAAATTACACAACAAAATTAAATATGACAGACCCTCCAAAGAAAGACTTCCATCAAGCCTCCACCACCTTCACAAGAAGGCAACCTCATTCCAAGTTACAGGGAAGGGATCTCTATGATCCTCCAGGGAAAGAGGGGATCAATGGACTGGCCTAAGACCACACAGATTTCCTAATAAATCGGAACACTGACTCAGACCATCTGACTTCCTTCCATCCCTGGGCCCTGCCTGGCACCAAGATGGCAGGGGAAGAAAGGGAATCCAAGTCCACCTTCTCAGCAGCCAGAGAAGTCCCAAACATTTTCCTCAACAATATCCTGACATGAACTGAATGAAGACGTTTTTGAATGACTCACAGACATGTGATCTAGAGTTGCAGGAGAGAGTGGAAAGCAGGCCTAGAAGGCCACCACCCCTGTCCCAGCCTCCTTTTCTTCCTTTTTCTTTCTGCGACAGGGTCTCACTGTGTCATCCAGGCTAGAGTGTAGTGGTGTGACCACAGCTCACTGCAGCTTTCACCTCCTGAGCACAAGTGATTCTCCCGCCTCAGCCTCCCAAGTAGCTGAAACCACTGGCTTCAGCCACCATGCCCAGCCTCTCTTCTAAATATTTCTGCAAGAATCCCTACTCTGGGTAATCGACTTCTGGCATGACAGCATGAGAAGTTCCACTGACCTGCTTGCTCCCATGGAAAACAGGTGAATATTGAAAGAAAACAACTATTCAAAGCCTCTGGAGATCATTCTAAGGGCAAGTGGGTCAGCATACAACTGAAAATTCAGTAAGAATGGCCAGAGTCTGTTGTATTTGAATCAAGACTGCTCCCTGCCTCCCCTCCAGGTCAGTGAGGCAGAGACTCCATTCTAGATAACGGCAGCTGATAATGTAGGGCCCCTCTCCCCCTGCTCCAAACCACATTTTCTTCCCAGGAGGGACAGAACTTCAGTACTTCCCATCCCACCCCAGCTACCTGGTGCTGATGCTACATCCTGGCTAGTGAAGTCATGGGTGGGGAGCAGGGGGAGGGCCTTGCTACTTCTGCTGAGCCTCCACTCTAAAATGGAGGCTCAACTTTTAAGTGTGGCAGGCTGAGAATACTGGGGCCTTGATCAGCTGTGCCCTGGCTCTGTGAGCTGGTGGTTGCACTCCGGCCCTGCAATGACAAGCTGAGAGGGACCTGGCTGCCGCCACAAGACCAGGGGCATCATTCAGGGAGAAGCTTGCCACTGTCCACACTCCCAACTCCAGAGCCCTGGTTCTGAGAGCTTGTCTGGGAGAAGCAGGTAGAAAGAGAGACCGCTCCTAACCCCTTCCCAAGGCACTAACTTCATTTGCAACCAAGTTTGGTGATGTTTAAACCTAAGGGCACTCCCTTTAAGCCTAGGAATAGTGAGGTCCTAGTGAAGGCAACTAGAGGTGTGGGTTTCATGGAGACACAGCCTAGACTGCAGCTGCCTAGTCTGAAGGAGAACTGGAGAATTCTTGCTGCAGGAGTCCTCCAGGGTGGGAACAAACCTCCTAAAATGACTTGAGAAGCTGTTTCTTCATTTCACTGAATTGGTTTGTAATTATCCCAGACCATTGCTGAAGACAACAGAAACACTTGGCGGGTTCAGAACTGAGCGTGGTCAGAGAGACTGGAGGAGAGCAGCAGGGTGACTGTGGCATGTCCAAAGCTGCGCCTGGCTGGGGCATAACAGCAAAGGCCGAACACGGTGGGAGTGGCAAGGGGGCAGGGCATGAGCACATTTCACTACATGAATCTAGCATTCACTGAACTGGTTAAAGCTGGCAAGTTTTATGTTAGTATATTTTATTGCAATTAAATATATAGAGATATAATAAATATATTATACAGTGAGTTTCGAAGACAAGGCTGCTCCTAAGACCATACAATTAGCTAAAGAACACGAACAGCTATTCAATTCAGTATTTCAATGCATACTTGCAAACACAAAGTCCAACAACACTAATTAAGATCCGCCAAATGCATCTTAAAACCTGATAAGGATTCTGTCAAGTGTTGAAACCTCTTCGGAGGCCGAGGCTGAACAGAGCAATCAGCATGGGCTTCTGGGTTGGGCAGCGTGTGGGAGGAGACCGGCCTCCTGTCCATGCCCTCCTATCCAGGTTGCTTTCCTTCCTGAGTTTCAGAGATTTCTTTTATATGTGCCAATATTAATCATATCAAATACCCTGATTTACATCTTCTCTAATAATTAACTCCAGCTGACTGTCAGATCCTCTAATGCCTAACATTAACGAAAGAGTGTCATCTTATGGGGCTCTTACATGAGAAAAGATTATTTCTCTTACTGACAAAGAGGAAAGAGACTGAGCCGGGCGCGGTGGCTCAAGCCTGTAATCCCAGCACTTTGGGAGGCCAAGGCGGGTGGATCACGAGGTCAAGAGATCGAGACCATCCTGGTCAACATGGTGAAACCCCGTCTCTACTAAAAATACAAAACATTAGCTGGGCATGGTGGCGCGTGCCTGTAATCCCAGCTGCTCAGGAGGCTGAGGCAGGAGAATTGCCTGAACCCAGGAGGCGGAGGTTGCAGTGAGCCGAGATCACGCCATTGCACTCCAGCCTGGGTAACAAGAGCGAAACTCCGTTTCAAAAAAAAAAAAAAAAAAAAGAGAGAGACTGAAACTAGCTTCAGTTAAAAAGCTATTATGGCACCTAACGTCAAGTCAAAGTACAGAGTCAGCTCCAGGCCTGCCTGAATTCAGGACCTTGAATTTTAATTTTATCATTGTGCCCTTCCACCTTGTGTCTGTCATCTGGGTCAATGTTGTGAAGTAACTGCCAATCCACTAATTCTGTCTTTGACTATGTCCAGTGCAGAGTCTATCATCCTGGCTCATATCCTTTCAGTTACTAGATTTCAAGCTGTTGTTCTTTTCTTCATACCTTCTTGCTCTCTTTTTGGAAAATTTGTTTTCATGGATGCTAATTTATTGTTTTAAGCATCTTAAACATACTTATTTGGAGAGTTTTTGCCAGACTGGCCTTCAATTTCTGATGCAGTCAATGCACAGCTCTGTAAGGCGCCGACTCTGGGGAGGTGGTATTAGCAGTCTTTGCGTGGAGAGGAATGCGGGTCTTGGGCTCATCCCGACAGAAGGTTTTCTGTTGCTGCTGCTCTCCTCCCTGTCTAGTGTCTCAGTCCGTTCAGGCTGCGATAACAAACTCATTGCCTGAGTGCCTCATGAACAATAGAAATTCATTTTTCACAGTTCTCGAGGACGGAAATTCAAGATCAAGGCATCAGCAGATTCGGTGTCTGCCGCGGGACCAACTGCCAGCTTCTGAGGGATCTTCTCCAAGCACATTCACCCATTCACAAGGACTCCACCCTCATGACCTAATCCCCTCCTAAGGGGACGCCGGGAGTTGGGACTGGAGCATGTATATGACTGTGGCAGAGCAGGGGACACAAAAGCATTCAGCCCGTAGCACTAGTGCTCTGCCGTTGCTGCCCTCCGAGCGCCAAGGCCTCAGTCCAGAACCAGGTTTTCCATGGCGAAGCAGGATTCTGCTGCACAGTTATGTTGCCAACAGTGCAGACCCTGTTAGGGAACCATGGAATAGCATGGCTCACCCCAGGCCTTGGGTTCTCCTTCCCTGGGACCACAACTTCCAACAAAGCCCCTATCTGCATAGCGGAGAATTGCCTTAGATAGGGAAACCTTCTCTAACTCCAGCTTCAAAAACTATCTAAGGCCAGGCACAGTGGCTCTCACCTATAATCCCAGCACTCTGGGAGGCCAAGGGTGTAGGACTGCTTGAGCCCAGGTCAAGACCAGCTCGGGCAATATAGTGAGACCCCATCTCTATACAAAACATAAAAAACTAGCCGGGCATGGTAACACACACCATGCGTAGACCTGGTAGCACAGACCCAGCTACTCGGGAGGCTGAGAAAGAAGGACTGCTTGAGCCCAGAAGGTTGAGGTTGCAGTGAGCTATGATCACACCACTGCATCCAGCCCAGGTGATAAGGCCGTCTCAACAAAAGAAGGATCTCAATCTAATTCCACTGAACACCTGCGTCCCCGTTACCCTTCCCCCCGCGGGAACTCAGTTTCCTACTGACACTGCCTGCTTGGAGCTTGCAGCGCGGCGGCCAGTTCATGCTTACCATGCTAGGTTTCTAGACTGTTTCTATACTGAGGGTATTTCTCTTGCGTGGGGGCCTGGCTATGCTTTTTGGTTTGTTTCTCTATTTAAATTGTACCTTTTCACTGCTGTATTTGGAGGGGAGATGCATCAAAGCACAAGTGAGCGCCTCCACCTTGATCAGAAGTCACAATTCATTCAAGAAATAGTGCATATCTTGTCTATGTGGGCCACTACAGCAACAGAGAAGCAAGGCCTGTCCCCTCTCAGGATGCTTTAAAGAACACAGAGACAAGCTGGCAGGAACCCTAGAGCAGTGAGTGCGCTAGGTGAGAGGTGCCCAATATACTGCGGAGCTGAGTGGAAGCCATCCATGATGGGAAGTGGGAGTGCTTCTTGGAAGGTTTGCTGAAGGACACTGCACTTGAATCGAGCTGAATTCTGAACAAGCTTTATAGCCAGTGAGAGCCTCTTTCACAAAAGCAGCATCTGATCATCGAGGGCTTCAGCAGGGCTGGGGCAGGAGCAGTGTGTATGGAGGAAGCAGGTGAGGCCAGAAGTGGGCAGCCCTTCAGGGACCACAGACACAGCATGGAGCCTGGATCTCATGTCGAAGCCTTCAGAAACTGCCTTATCTACAGATTGGAGGGCCCTGAACACAAAATGGGGCAAAACTGGTAAAGTCTCAGTCAGTCATTAGCATAAGGGATGTGCTCAAAATGCGTCTGCTGGAGCAATGAAAAGTTCCTGGGAGCAGTGCTGCCCTTGGGCTGGAGGAGGGGACTAAGAGTGGGAAATCAGCAGTGAGTTCACTGCAGTAATCCCGGGGAGAAATGAGGGTCTGAATTAAGATCAATATTAGAGAAAAAGAAA